TATATATCTATATATATATATAATCAGTTCATTATGTTAGGGCAACAGCCTGCATTTCCTCTTGGAATGGATTTTGAATCCACTGCCTGGATATATAATCAGTCCAGTCAGCTACTGGACACTAAAGTAAACCTGTACTTCAAGTTAAACTTTAAAAAAACAACAACTCCTGCCTAAGAGCAGACACTAAGCATGCTATTATCGTTTATTAGCCAGAATATCATTTCTGTGCTCCTTTCTGACTTAATTTTACTTTGCTACACAGGCCCAACTTTTCCTGACTAAGCTCCAGCAATGGCTATCCCCTTTTTCAATGGTGACAGAGGCAGCTTTCTAGGACAGAAGAATCACAGTTGGCAGGTCTAAGCTATAAAATCAGACCTCAGTAATAAAGTAAAAACTACATCACAGAGGGGCTCAAAAAAGCTTTCCCGACTAATAAAGGCAAAAGTAGGCATCTTGCGATGTCTGGTCTCAAGCTGGGTACACACGGACATATTTTTTAGCCTGCGAGGCTCACACAAAAAATATGACCAACAGCATGGATGAATGAATATCCTGTTGGGTACACTGTATTCAGATAGCGGTGACGGCCGCTGTCAGAATAACCAATCTAATTATCGACTCACTCTGTGGGAGCACCCACAGAGTGAATTTTGACTAATTCCTGCTGAACTGGCCACATTTGAATCCCTGTGTACCCAGTTTAAGACAGGACTTTTAAAAGATTAACCTGGAGTACAGGCTAATTTCACGTATTTCTTTATCTTCACATGGTTAACAATGACTGGAAGACCAATAAAGATTAACATTGCAAATATGTGCTGTCAACATATTGTTCTTTTGAATGGCTGAGCACAGAGGAAATGTGAGGCATGTTCAATGCAATAATTAAGCAGCTTATGTTAGCCATGGCTAGTACGAGACTGTCCTGCTTAACATCCTTAATAAGCACCAAGATGAATATTTACCAGGAACGATGGAACAACTATAAGAATCATCACTTGCACCATGCCCACTGACATCCTCATACGAAGCACCATCTGCAAAACAAAGAGTGATATTAAATTATACTGGATTATAATAAAAAAAGAGGTGACATCATCTGTGCATAAACATCCAAAATTTGCACTTTGCTGCCAAGAACTGTCGATGTCAGAGGATTCATTTAAATATTTGCAGGTATGTTTATGATGTTGAACGTGTTATTTTAAAGCATGATCTTGGGGAAAAAGGAAGTCTCACATGATATTATGAGTGCCTAAACCTAATATGGACCGCTCTCTCTCCTGGTGGACTTGACTAGGAGCAAAAAAATATTCCTGCTGCACATACCCTTTAATAGAAATGTCACCTGAAATACACCCCCCCTACCCCCCTCCTCCTCTTTAGCTCAATGAAAAAGACATTATATACATGAGATGATTTTGTGAAGCATGTGATCCAGACATCTGGAGTCTGCAGGGCATGCTGGGAAACTGCTGCCATGAGAGAAAGTTATTTAAGAGCATGATGAAACTTATGCCTCTTCTCATCAATTGTTATATCTGCTGAAAGGTCAGACAACAAAATTAGAAAGGAGTTTTCTTGAAAACACTGTGAGCTGTGGTCATTGTCATATTTTTTAGCATATATTATTATATGTTCTCAACAGCAAAACAGAATTCCCTGTTTTCACAACTAGATAGATGTGAGTGTGGGGTTTAGAAAAGGCTGCATCTAGGGATGCTCAGATACCAAGTACCGTACTCTGTACAGGTACAAGTACAAGTACAGATACTTTTCCAGCTCCAAGACTAGACTAGGAGAAAAATTCAAAAGTTAGGAGGCAGCTGTCATTTTTAAGGAGCACACGGAGCTCCTGGGATTTGTACATCTCTATTTTAATGCATTATTATTTTTTTTTAGAAATATATATCAGGGATGCGCCGATACCATTTTTACAAGTACAAGTACCGATACTTGCCCAAGTACTCACAGATACAAGTACTGATACATTTTTGTTTATAGTCATGTGACAGTTTTTCTAAAACAATGCAGACTAATGATTTCAGGACAGTGGTGGAGCGCCAGAGCCCGGTCCCAGCTGCAACCCTGGTAGTTCTCGTGAAAATGCCGAGTATCGGCACTAGTATCTGAACTGGTATCTGACATCCCTAGCTGCATCATATAAAAGTAAATATGATTTCTATTTCTAAGAATATTATGATTGATGTCTTAGACCTTATATCTTTTGACCTGTACCCTCATGTGCAATGATTTGGGACTGATTGTTGCTAGAAAATGTCTTAAAATATATTTTCTATCAGTGAAAATGCCGATTCCTGCCCTCACACCACGGTGCCCTTCGCTGTCAGAGCTGAGTAGCAACCACACCACTTATCATTAATGTCCTCAGGAAGACTTGTATTGCAAGGATGGGGAGGAGGTGTGTCTAAACAGGTCTGTTCCTTAAAGCCAGCACTGTCATTACGTCATTCCAGTCCTTTCTTAATAATATAATTATAAGCCTCAAAACAACATTGATGTACAGGTGGAGACTTACATTTAACCCAATTGTCATAACACATATACTGAATCATAACCCTTCCAATGTAAAATAGTTTGTGGAAGTTTTTGGACGCTTGTCATTGGTCAATAACAAGAGCACTGGGCCTACCCTATTACTGAAATCCCTATACCTTGCGTAGGCTCAGTTAAACCCTATAACACCACAAAGAGATGCAATAATGCAATAGAAGCAGTAAATAACTATTGACACTCTAGTAGGGTTGCAAAAAGTGTGTTAGTTGATTAGAAACAGATTAGTGTATTAGTAAAATAACCTAAATCCCATAAAGTACTGACAAACAGAGCACATCTAAATAAAAATTGCACTGCGTATACCTTTACTTTTAGGTATCTGCTTGGTTCTGAAGCTCCTAGCTTGGTTGACTGTTGAAAAGTTGATGGCGGTTGTGGAGAAGGCCATAGTTCCCAAATCTTTCCTTCTTTTGCCCGTGGGAATTTCATCAGGACCCTCCAGATTTTCAGCACTACCTGTCCACTGTCCACCTGCCAGGACCATGGACTGGACCAGGTCATTCATGGCTGGGATGCAAATGAAAGCAAATGAATCAGCATGATACCGTGAGCCATCTGTAGCCAGCTTTGGTTCTCTGACAGCCCTACAAGCATTAGAAAGCTCACTGCGGGTCACAACAGCTACCAAGTTCACAAAGCCATTTCAGTTATGACATGCATTCAGTGGACAATGATGAAAGCAAGTGGACATGTACAGCAAATGTGGCATTTGTACATTACTCATAAAGCCTTTAGAATATCCTCACCATGCTATAGCAGCAGTGATGAGCAGCATAGCTTGCTAACAAGTTATGTTGCTTAAGAATGACCAAATGGTATGAAATGGTGAAATAAGCAGTACAGCGAATGGTTAAAGTGCACCTGTTGTCTACACAATAAGCTGGCAGCCATTTTGTAGAATAAACACAGAATCAACCCCTGAGTTGACTGGGAGACAAAATGTGATGCCCTAGTAACAAAAGTAGTGCCCAGAAAATGAACGGGTTGCAATGTCATCAATATCGGACCACAGAGATGCCACCTCCACCATTCTAAGACAACATGTACACTTAACTGCATTTTTATTGTTACAGGGGAGATAGAAGCCATTCCTAAATCTCAATGCCATTCAGATTTTCTGTCAGCGGTGTTGGACAGGTCTATGGCCAGTGCAGGTTACTGCGTTTTGCAAAACCCTAAACAATTAATATTTTAAGATGGCACTTGGAGAAAAAAGCATCAGTTTTTTAATATACCTTGTAGTAAATTAAGAAGTGCCATTTCATAAAGACAACTGGATATACTGTTTGAAGGATTACTAAATTCAAGAACAAAAAAAAATGAAGCATGAAGCAGCTTACCACTTCATAAATGTGGTAGCTGTGTTATTTTTCTGGCTAAAAACATTTTCAGCAAGCACAGAAAAAAACCTGCTGATCTTGCCAGAAATGACATGTCCGTGAGCTGAACTGGGAGCAAAAAATAAATCTTATATTCTATAAACTACTGATCTCTCCATCCTCAATGTAAAGGCAGATGAACAAAGGCAGACATGTTGAAGCCTGGCCTAGCTGACAGCCATGACTTCTTCCATATATACAGTGGAGAACTGAGCACCAGGAAATGTAGTATTCGCAGGACCACCAGGTGAAAAGAAAAAAAAAACTAATGCAGCTACCTCATTAAAAGACTGGTAAGCTGCAACATATTAAATTGTTGTTTTTGGGTTTAGATATGCTTTAACTGGACAATTGTTTGGTGCAGCCATTTCAAGTCCTGGACAAATTCACAAAACCTCAGCTTGTTTAATCTCTACATTCTCTTTTTGCTGCACTGAGTTGTGTTAAGGGCATCTGTACCTGAGCACTTCAATGCTGATGTTATAGTATATACCGATTTTGGTACAGTCACACTGTTCACCTTTATCTATAGTCCTTTTTTGCAATCTGTGTTATCTGTTCAACGTATAATACAATAGGGCAGATGTTGTATTGCTAACAATTATCAGTAAACCTGTACTGTGGAATAATTGCTAAGGGGAATAAAACACACACTAGCTCATTCACATGTTAGGCTAAATACAGTGGGTTATGTTCAAAGAGTAGTTACCCACAGCTGCTGGTTCAATGGTCAGTCAATGATTACAGCTCAGCTTCAGCCCCAACTTTATTTTTCTTTTGGACAGAGTGATGTAAGGTAAAAGCTTCTGTCAAATTTAAAGTATATGTAAACCCACGTGTAGTTTCAAAAGTCATTTTCAATATTTTAAAATCTGAGTTTTTGTTAGAATGATCCCTAGTGATCCTGCCAAGAATGTGCTTTTTCAGGGACTTCTTGTTACCGGGTCACAACACTCTGGCCCTGTCTCACAATTGTGCTCCTGCATTGTCACCCCGTCACATGCACTTTTGCATGTCACATTATACAGGCATGGTCCACTGTTGTAAACATGAGGAAACCTGCCCTGAGGAATGCCATGCAGCAGTTCCTGTTTATTTGAAGGGTGACAGACAGGAAGTGACGAGTTACCTCCCCAACAGGGTAAAGGCGGAAATAAAAACACATTTTATAGTAGAATGATGGAAGTTTAGAACCTCTGTCCTTGCTCTCTGCATCCACGTGGGCAATTTCTCTTTACATTACGGTTCATTTATTAAAGTTCTGCGCAGCTTGTAGTTGAGCTGATGCTATTTACGTGGCATTAGCATCCCTAAATGGCACTGAAAAGTATAGGAATTTCCTATACTGTAAGCACCATCTAGGGTTGCTTTTGCCGTGCAAACGGAATCCATCTGGCTATATGCCAGGGGGAACTTTTATAACTGAACTCCTTAGTGTCCATGAGACATGTATCAGAAGAGAAATAGAAGTAAAATCTCCTTTGCGCACACAAATAGCATTTAAAACCTAAAAAAGAGGTAGAAGAAAGAGTGCTAAAAGCATGCATATAAATAAATAAGCCAATGCCTTATGGGGGTTAGGCTGCACTGCCTTCATCAGGATTCTGAAATGCTGTACAATCTGAAAAGATGGAGCTCTGAATAGATCAGAATTCTAAAAAGATAGTTATCTGTGATCCCTGTTGGGAAAAAAAACCACAGGAAATATGAAGGCTTTTATAAAATGTAAAATGGGACAGAGGTTCTAAACCTTCCTCACTTGGTTCAAACACCATAAACGTTTTGGCTGGCATTAAACTTTTATTCTCTTGCTGTGAGGTGCTGCATTTTGCCTTAAGCTTTCAACTCTTGCTGGAACCACCTGTCAATTTAGGCAAATCCTAGTATATTTCCCCTTCAAACGCCCTATCCAATGGCAACAGGACTTGCAGCTTGCATGTTAGGGAAAACAGCACAGCCCGGGGTAAGCTTAGTGAGGTATTAGTGATGGAAGCCAAGAACAGCTAGCTGAACTGGTTGAATGTCTTACACACAGAGCGGCGGTAGAGGGCCTTCATTTTGTCTTTATCCTTCGGTCGGTTCCTCATAAAAGGCAGTCTTTTCAGTGCTTATGTCACAGCATGGGAAGAAAGAAAAAAATCAAAAAACAAGAAACCAGGGGGAAAAAATAATAGAAATGAAAAGAGGAAGAGGGAGGAGAAGAACACATGGAAGAAGTTAAATGCTGAAACGAAAAGACAGAAATGAGCATGTACCAATCTCAATTTAGCATGCACTACTACAAAAGACAGGCTAACACCAGTGCATAATGGGTATGGCAGGTGACACAATTTTTGAATACATTCTGTGATCGCTGGAAAAATGTTTTAATAAAAGAAAACATTTTTCCAAAACTGTATATGATCTAAAGTATTACATATTTAAAATAAGTGCTTTATAGACAGGGTAGAGGGTACGGGTTATGACCTCTGGTATGTGTGTGATCTATGGATTAAATCAGAATTTAAAGTGAAGCTATTGTGCATATTCTGTAAGTTCTACTGATGAGGTACCTGTTGTAATATCATTTCAGAATCTATTTTCATAAAAAATTTCCTTGTGTGCCCTTCAGGGAAATGATGCCTTGTTTTCTGTGTGGCCACAGAGAGAGGAAGTGAACAGAATCTCCCCAATGGGGTCATAGAGAGCAATAAAAACAAAGGGTTAGATCATCTGGAAATTTTGTATTGCTTTTGGGTTCCCAATTGGAAGAATCTCTTGCGTGGGCACCAGGACAGGAAGAGGAAATCTACTCAGTGGGGAACAATATGTCACCAGCAACTGAATTACCCTTGTGTCATGGCCCAAAGAGATAATGAAGCTTGTAACAAGAGAAATGTCATGAAACAAACTGTGTGTTAAATTGCATATTTTATATTTCTTGTGTAGGCCTTTAAAAAACGTAGAAATTAGGAAGTACATGTTTTCTATTTAAATGTCATATGACATGACCAGACCTGAGGATCTATGGGATAAATGACCAGTGAAATGTGGAAACAGAATCTCTCCAAATGATTGGTGAATGAAGAACAGATGGAGGCCAGACCGAGACGGATCACACACAAACAAGGAAAGAGTGCAGGAAAAGACAGATGTGAAAATCTGGAGCATCTGGATTTCCTATGACCTCCTCAAAATGATGAGGAGAATGAATATATATATATATATATATACACACACATACATACATATATACACATACTGTACATACATACACACACAAACACATACATATACACGTGATGAGAAATCTTAATCATGATGAATGTGTCCATAAGTTTTCAAGGGATCCAAGCTTAATTTAAAAGGGAAAGTCCACCCAAAACACATATCTGCTTTGAAATGTGGCAGTGAGGCCTTTGCACCTGAATTGATAAGCATGGCCACTTGCCATGATTGTCATGTGTGGGTCTCCCTCCAGTTCTCAGACCACACAGCTTGGATTATCAGAGCCAATAACACAGTAAGAAAGACGTCACCACCAAAAGCCACTGTGAAATACAGGAAGACTGTGGGTGGGTCAGCCTGCGAGAATTCACACATAAAAGAAATACTGGTTTGGGTAGACAAATCCTTTAAAAGGTGGTATTTTTGAGGCAGTGCAAAGAGTAGTGGTGATTTTTTAATAATTGTTTATTAGTCACATCAGCTAAGGTGTACTTTCTGATTGGAAGCTGCCCTCTTGACATTACAACTGTTCTGTGTACTGCTGTATTGAATAAAGTTGCATGGGTTAAGGGGCCTTGCCTCTAGGGCATCAGACATGAATTAATCTTTTAGAGGGATTTGGCAAGAGGTACTGCAAACTAGAAAGTAGATTATACCTACAATCAGAGAGTCCCAAAACAGATTCTGGAATCTCACACAAGTTCCAAGACCACTAAAGGAACCAAAACGTGTTTAGCTTTTTTTGCCTCAGCTTCAGTCCCAAAATCACATTTATTTTAATAAAGTTTAAAAAAAGCCCAGCAGTTATATGTCCCCTAATGGCCCTGTAACAGCTGTCAGGGCATAAGAGGGCAGCAACTGGCAAATTTACCCTCACAAATAGGCTTCACGAAAGTAGATAAACGCTGTAAGTAAATTTAGTGACACCATATAGGTTTTCTTGGGTAGTTGTATCCATTCTCCAATATTTTGGTTTCGCTGAAGTTCTCCTACATTTTAATTTTGTTCTTCACATCATCAATAGCCCTGAAAACACTGCTTTGGTGTTACTAGCCTCCATATTTAGTAGCTTTAAAAGGAGAACTATGACATGAGTGATTTCCACTCACCTCATAGTTCTAAGCCGACCTGTGACAATGAGACTGTCACAGGTCGGCTCAGTAGATCGGGAGGTGAGAGAACACATACTGGGTTCCCTCACCTCTCGATCCTGTCACGGCTCTCTGCCGTGACAGGGGGAGGGGCTGGATTCCCCTCTCCCCGCTCCGATCTGCCAGCGCTGACTGGCGGAACGGACGGGGGAGGGGGCGGGTACAGCTGGCTCTGCCTCTAGATAGGCAGAGCCAGCTGTCACTCACGCAGCTGGGCGGATCCCGTCATCTAAGTTGGGATCCGCTCCAAGTGCGGCGTCTCAGTATACCGCGAGCTGTAGCTCGCGGTATACTGAGCTTAGGGTAACAGGAGGACGCTAGTTTGTGTCCTCCCATTACCCTAAGGAGAACTATGGGGAAAAACACTGACCCCATAGTTTTCCTTTAAGGCTCCATTCACACATAGCGTTTTTGTTTTCCACATGGTTTTCTGCGCGGCACGCAACTGTGCAAATCTTAACATGCACACGGATTACGCACATATGTGGCTTCTACTATAGCCGTAACATGTGGAATCAGCCCAGAATATCGCGCTTGGACTTTTTTGCACGATGTGCGTTTTCGTGCCGTACAGGTGTGAACCAGATACATTGACATATATTAGTTTTTGTGTTTAATTTGTGATCAGAGCCTTACTTATCAAAATGCTTACATAGAAATAATATATTCAGCCCCACTGAATCCAACAGGAACATACTGTAAAAATAAGAAAGTACAAATTCCTAAATAAAAAAAAACTGGAACAGTTCCTACTGGAATGCTACAGCTCGCGGTATACTGAGCTTAGGGTAACAGGAGGACGCTAGTTTGTGTCCTCCCGTTACCCCAAGGAGAACTATGGGGAAAACACTGACCCCATAGTTCTCCTTTAATATGAAACAATATTAAATCGAGATCACATGTGCTATGGGACAGTCAACCAAACATGGCATCCATGCTTAAAGTGACATTAAACCCTCAGATTTCTTAACATAAACCAATACTGTAATGTGCGCCTTACTGTAATCCATGGTTGTTTCCTTTCTCTTTGCTGCTTTTCATTTTAAATCCTCATGTCTTCTCATGCTTGGTGAGAACTTCCCTTTTCAGCTCAGGGCCTCTTCCTGTAGTGCTGGCTCAGGTTACAAGCCTATACACAGACACCATGTATCTATTCCTCAGACAAGGCAGTCTGCTGCAAAACAGAAGTTCTGCCCAGCATGAGAAGAGATACAGATTTAAAAGGAAGAACAGAAAAGAGAAGGGAAACAACCATGGATTACAGTACGGCACACATTACAGTATTGTTTTATGTTAAAAAAATATGAGGGTTTAATGTCACTTTAAGATGTAAGGGCATGGAAGAAGAAAAGGCTATCTGACATGGAGAGTCAAGGGCAACCACAGAGACCAAACTTCTATCCACAGACACCAGTGAAGTTAAAAATAATAATAAAAAGAAGGGCTAGGAGGAAATTTTCACGTTGAGAACTTATTAGTCAGTAACAAGGGGCAAGAAAATGATAGATAGTAAATCTCTGAAGGTGGAAATTATTTTTTATGTTCTTAAATTTAAAAAACGTTCAGATATATTTATATTTTATAAAGAGTGCTGCTGATGGGTAATGGTTGGCTAACACTAATCTTGTACGTAGGAGAGCCACTCATTGGATGCACAACATACACAAACAATAGGTTACAGAAACATCAGCTGAAAATGCCGTATGGGTACATTGCAGACTTTTCCACATAGAAAGATGAAATAACCTAACATTCAAAATGTGAAAAACTGTTTAGTGTTACATTTTACAATTTGTAAACCCGTACACAAAAAAGACACAACAACAACAACAACAACTGTAGAGGTGTAATACATGTGTACTATGCACTCAGCTATACTGAGCCATCATTCTTTCTTAACAAACAACAAATTTTATAGAAATTTTTTTAAACTTGGCAAATTCACAAAGATACTTCAATGGGCTCTCATCCAGTGTTCCAATATATCTAAATATACCAGCAGAAGTAAATTGATGAGGATGGAAAGTCAGTACAAAGAACAACATGCTTTTATTCTCAACTCTGCCTACTTTTCCCACCACCAATGTTTTAAATCTTTGCTCCCCTTAAGAACTATGCCAGGCAAAGAAACTTCAGCATCTTACCCACATAAGGGTGTGCCAGATGCCTGGTTCTACCCACCGGGCACTATGTTACTACTGTGTCCTGTAGTGACTCATGGGTGTAAACTCAAATGAGCAAAGATCAGAGGCTCAGGCAGCAGAACAGGTAAGTATTAGTCCTTTTCTTTCGCAGGTAACTTTTTTTTAATGTGGCAATGTTGTTGCTTAAAGTAAAACACCAAACAACCTTTTTCCTTTTTGGATAGATTGGTAAACTATTAGAACCCCTGTCAGGGTTTCACTGCTTTTTGTGTTCTCTGTTGAGGAGAATTTTCTTCTTACTTTCTGTTCCAGGTCACAGAGAGAGGAAGTGACAGGAAATGTCTTCAACAGGGACAGAAAAAGCAAAATAAACAACTATAATAATTGTATAATATTGTTGGGAAGGGTTAGCATGTATATCAGGTGGTTATTGCTGTTTGCATCCTTATTTCCTAAATGCCCATCACTTGCTGTCCCAGTGACAGTGGTCACCTTGGCAGGAAGTGAGGCAATATGCCCAGTAGGATCCAGACAGCAATAACAATTTTTTAGCGGTTCTAGCCACATTGCTTTAAACCAATACTATAATAACATGAATTCTGAAGGCATGGATGGTGCTGTACTAAATCTGTCATAAAGATTTCTCACACCATCCCCTGTCATTGGGCATGCAAAGGTAAATTATAGAGGTATGCTAATTCCATATAAGAACATCAGCCTCCAAGCTGTATTAAATAGGCTGACTTATCAGGGTCCTTTATCATAGAAATGTAGGAATGCCAGATTGTGTAATTGTGCCATTATAAGTATCCACCATAAGTAAGGCATGTTAAAAGGCTTTCTGACTTCCTGTTCTAACTGATAGTATATGTCAAGGACCTTACCATGTTGAAGCAAGCCCACTGCCTACAGACACAGGAAGCAACCATTTTCACAAAAGGCCAGGCCATTGTTTTATTAGCAGTCACTGATTCATTGGGTAGAAAGTTCACTATTATTATAGCAACTATGGAAAATAAGTTTGTTTGATCTCATGGTCACTGGCTGAGCATACAAAATGGCTGTTTCCACAGCATGCAAGCAGGAAGAATGCTTAAAAAACATCTATAGGCCACATTAACACTACATAAACAGATTACATTATAAGAACATTTAGAATTAGAGAGTTTTAGAAAGACATTTAAAGATATGTACTAACAGTATATGAAATCATATAAACATGGATTCAGGCAGTATACATCAGTTACTTGAAATCAAAAAATAACATAGCTGGGACATTGTTATAAATATGAGCCTATTTCATAAAATGGTGCAATTAACCAATTAAAAGCAGTCAACTAAAATTGGGCATTATGAACTAGAGTACAATACTGGCCATTATACCAAAAAAGGCAAGAAAATATTTTAGATAGAATCATTAAAAATACTCACTGCTGCTTTTTTTGGCCCCAAGTGGATGCCCCTCCTCAAGTGAATTTGAACCTATAGATGAGCTATCTTGGCTGTCCTGGGGAGGTAACTGCAGAAACCCTTCACTGGATTCCGATCGGGAAGGCGTGAGTGTAAGAGACCTTAGGCGGTCACGGTTGACATCTTTCTTGGACTTGATCAGCTTCCTCATCTTTAAAGTTATCCAGTTTCCTCTCCTTGAAGGTTAAGAATTTTACTTTTTACATATGCAAAATAGCAATGATCTTTACAAGTCATGTTCTGATTTTTCTTGATTATAGCAACTTGACACATTCTTGACAGCAGGCCTATACTCTAACCCCTTGGTTCTCAACTGGTGAGTCGTGACCCAAAAGTGGGTCACGACCCTGTGTTCAATGGGTCCCCCGTCTGCCTTCCACTTTTCTAGGTGAGAGGCTCCTCAGCCTCCCCCTAGCACAGCACTGTCAGTTCTTGCGCCAAACAGCCATTGAGAATATGCTACCCGGTGCCGAATGTCAGCTTGAGGTGGGGTTATGGTCTCGAGGGAGCTCCATCCATACGTGCATTGCTTTACAGCACCCTTGCATGTCCTGTAGAGGTGCCTGGACCAGGGGGGTGTCGCATTCTGGTTCCTGGCACCTCTACAGGTAATGCACATATGTATGGCGCTCCGTCACAGCACATTCTGGTGTGGGAGTGCATTGCCATTCATTTGAATGGCATCGTAAGTGCACCTCCCACCCACAGTTCTATTGCTCGCATCAGAACATGCGGTACCACATGCCATGCGTTCCATTGCAGTGTGACTTGGGTCGCGACTTAATGACCAAGGACAAAGGTGGGTCCTGAGGTTACACAGGTTGAGAACCACTGCTCTAACCTATACGCTAAAACACCCCTCTCTTTACTAATTGTAAAAGGACAGATTAAACACTTAACTATACAAAAATTACAGTTGCTTTACTCACAGTTTTATGATCAAATACTAAGCAATGGTCACAGTGCTTCAGCCAAGGGGGGATAACCAGAACAGCTGATTGGCCAGCTTTACTTAAATGCAAGTTCATTAACCACTTTGGCTTTCATCAAATTACTAATGCTTTTATATCTGATCATGCGTCTGCACTAGAAACATCTTGGATCCTACCGCAGTGGTTTCTTTAGAAAAAGGTAGGTATTCCAAATGGTCTTTTACCTAATATACATTCACTAGTAACAGACCAGTATATTCATATATGGTTTGACATCCAGTGTTCTGCTGTTTACCTTCTTGGAGGCGATGGCTCATAGAACTTGTACTGATCCATTATCTTTTCTTCTAGTTTTTCTTTTTGTCGTCTGAGTTCATTTAACCTGTCCCTGTAAGATAGAAACGTGGATAGTTTAAGAAATAGCATCACAAAATAAACACATTAAACATTTCTTGACCTATAAAGTGTTACATTTCAATAGATTTCTTTGTTCATCAGCAGGGATGGCCTAATATACATCTGAGAAACATGAAAAAAGAGATGAGCTTAAAACATTTAGTATACATCCATCTTTGTGTGGCCATGGAATATGATACTGCCTGAGGATTGATGGATCATGACTAAGTTGTGTGTAAGAGAAAGTGTTGCTCTTAAACATAGAAAACTTTAGATAACTTGTTACAATCTATACATATACTCTCCCTTACATTGTGATAAGATCCAATTATGCTGTATATAAAAACTGGGAGTGGCTGAGCATATAAAACACCAGTGCACATGTGCCAAGGTAAATATTTGATCTCAACAAGGAATATATTTTCTTACATGTACTGTCTTTGTTCAATCTGAAAAAGATCTTTGCTCTCCATACTCTGGTCCAGCAACGTTTTGTTCAGCAACATTAATGTCTGTATCTGGTCTGTCAAATGTCTATTCTCTTCTTCCAAGTTCCCTTTTACTTGCCCTAAAAGCTAGGGGGGAAAAGAATATTGCTATAATATACAAAAACAATGCACAAGTCCAGTAACATTGACACCATTAGTAAAAGAAGCTTGTTTGAAGTCACTTTGCAAGGGATATACCCTAATTAGGAACACTTATGTATCCTTTGGATAAAGAAAATAAATACTGTTTTAATGGCTTTCATCCCAACCGCCCGATTTGGGAGAGTTAAGAGTCCTTTTGTACTTACCAAATGTTTTTGAGCAAATTACAGTTCAAATGCCATAAAGAGTCCCACACTAACATCTTATTTTCCACATTTGGTCCAAATATTTTGTTTCAGAGCTTCCACATGTCCAACTTCAAGACATTATGAACCTTTTTTCAGTACATTACATGGAACAAAACAAAAGCTAAAAAAGTCACCTTGGGCAGACTGAACATTCTGTAATCTACAAAGACGTCTGATATACAGTGTAAAGTCTTACCAGCACCCCCAAGCACCATGGAAACCCTCTGGGAGTGCTCAGTGATGGGGATAAGTGAGGTAATCCATTGGTCTTCAACCATGATTTCAGTGGCATTCCCAGTGACACTGTTTTGTTCTGTTTTGCTTTATGTACTGTTTCAGTCTGTTCACCTACCATTTCCTCTATGCCTATGGATGACTCTAACTAGGATAATGTACACTATAAGTACTATTACATTTTTTAGGCTGAAACTCTTACATTCTTGGTTGATGACAAACCTGCATAAAATGAGCTGTACAACAAACAGCAAATGATCTATTGGACAGATGTTTAGCAGAAAAAAATGGTTTGCCTTGTATGTTCCTTTGTATACCTACTTGTGTAGAACTGGTTCTACGATATGCACATATAACAACTCTATTGTGTTCTGCACTGTATAGATGTAGTGCCATGTATCCTTTTACTGATGCCAACTCTAAATCTCCTTTATTGTTAATTTGCCATTTTAGTTATATGCCATTTAACAAAGGAAAACCAAAAAAAGACGTTTTGTCAATTGCACTACAGCAACAGTTGCAGGAGGCAGCTTGCACCTGTTTAGAGACAACATATATATAAAAAGTGTGTATGGGAAATCTACAGTTAGGTACAAACCAAAGACATCAGCCAGTGAATTGTTGGTAAATGTATCTATAATATTCTCAATCAAAACTTCCTCCAGAGTTACATTGTGAATTGTTGACTTCAACCAAGTTGCCTGTCCTTTCATAGAAATCAAAGATACTCAAAGCTCACCTCACATTGGTTATTTAGTTTTGTGGATTCGATATCCAACTTTTGAAACTCCTCCTTTAGTTTGGAAAAGTCCACTTCTAATCGGGTCTGCTCCAATTTTCCATTGTTTAGCAAACTTTTCAGATTTTTATGGTCACTTTGCAGGCTTTCATTCTCCCGTAACAGTTGTCTGTATGTGTGGTTAAGTCTGAACAGAGTAGAAATAAATAAATTTACGACATAATTTTAAAAAAAAAGCACGGTGGAAGGGGAAATAAATATGGTTCAATCAGGATGTCCCATTGGTAGTATTTGATTCTTCATACTGTAGTGGTCAGCTGTTCTCTATGCCCCTTTCACTGCTCCTTGTAATTTTGAAACACAATGTCTAAATTTTCACTACAAGAACTATACTGTACAGTTTGCAATAGGACTCAAGGATTCATTGATTAGCAGGCAGAGCAAGGGGAACTGGGTTAATGGGTAAAGGCTGAACATTTTGGAAAACAATAGGCCTCCACTTAACAAAACACACAAAGTCCTTACCAACACCCCATAGGAATAGTAACAATTATATCACAAAATAAAAATGTTACTCCTGCAGCAAGTTAAACATTATCTCTAAATATTAAAAAAAGAAGTCATCCCTAGCCACCATTTTGTTCTACTGTTCCTATTAACATCAGTCTCCACTTAGCAGCATTGCTTGGCAGCCAGAACAACAGAACGCACATTTAGAGGAGGGGTGCACATTACACAGACACCAAATATCTTGACTTTCAAAGAAAAGCAAAAAGTGGGATCAGCCTCATTTTGGTTGAAATAATAAATGAAAGTTCCCCGTTTCTTTACAATGCTACAATAAAGAACACTGGAAAAATATAAACAAATTACATTTTGAAGTAAACTTGCACTATGAGAATGTGTAGGCTGCCCTTGCTGACGTTTTTAAATGCAAGTTGCCTGGCTGTCATGGCAGGGGCATCAATACTTTCTAAAAACACTGATCTGGAAGACTGAAGGTCGGGAGTTTGACTTATTTGAAGGCAGGTTCAGTGACTCAAAGCCAGAGACAGGCAGGGCAGAAATGCCATCCTCCAAATTAGTCCCAATACAGGTTTACTTTAACTTCCACTAAATGTAGCAGCTGTAAGCCAGAAATATTTGGAATATTTTTTAGTTTAGAAACTGTCTGAATCCAAGACTAATATATGTATTTCTGACTTTCCGGGTATTTTAGGATGTTTGTTTTCCTACAAATACTTTAGGTGAAAAAAAATGTTTCTTCATATTATCAATCTCTACAGTGTGTAATAGTAAAATATAATTGCAATGTAGCATCTAACAAATCTGAAAAGCTGCAGGGGTGGGGAGGTAGAACATGTCATATTTCAGCCCCCTGATCCTCTAGGAAGCTAGATGACCCCTTAAGGAGTACTGTCTTTGGTTTATTTTGTATGGATTTCTAAAAATCAGGGCTCATAATTTATACAGCATTACTCTGTAGATGAAGCATTCAGCTCTTAGCTAACATTAAGGAGTTCGGTTTGCATTCCATATCTCATTTTTCAAAATCTAACACTTTTTTTCCAGCACAGGTTGGATCCATTCTTTGTGATGATGGTGGGGATCACTCATGTTTACCCTGAACCAACTTTTATCTTCAAACAGCCCCGAGCACAGCTTGGCACAATGAGGGGTACATAGACAAAAATAGGCTGAAAATTGCAGCATGGGTGTATTGCATTATGAACTGCATTAAAACAGCACTAGAAAGAGGACACAGAGAGTCCCTCTTCTATCCTTCTAGTCCTTTTTTTAAAATGGATTTTTAAGGAAAAACTGAATGCTGTGCCGAAGATTTCCTGCAATATACATCTTCCTTTATGGAAGATAAATGTAATCTACAGCATTCTCATTCAAAGCGGTTTCTTAATTAATATTTGACCAGGTTTACTACCCAACCATGGGCGCTTCTTAAATTGAAGTCACAGGTCTTTCGCACTATTTTCAGGTGTTATTACACATAGGATTAACGCAATATGAACACATGATGTCCCACTGAATGGGACTATAGAAGATGATGTCACATGCTCACTCCTGCAGACAGTGTTGCCCTGGCAACAAGTGGAATCCTGTCCCTTGCAAGGGGTCAGCTGGAAAAAAGAATTTAAATTATGTTGGGGGGTAGATGGTGTCGATTGTTCGTGAAATCTTTGAACATATCACATGTGATGGTTACTACATTGCAACTCTGCATTTATAGCTCTCTAAACTGAAGTGTATGTGTGAGTGGTGGAAACAAAAATCTTCCTTGAACATCTGTTATCAAATGAATCGAAACATTAAAAGAAGCCGGGGAACAAGATGTTAAGAGTTATCAAGAAATAAAAGCTGACAAGCGTATAGATATGACACATCATGGGGAAATTCTGTAATTCCACACTATTTCTTTAGTTGCATAAAGGACATGAAGTGAGAAGAAATCTAAGAAATGTGGACATAGACCACAATAAAACCCAAACAGAGGTTCTAATCCTTCCCCACTCTGTCCAAAACCAGAAAACAATTACAACCATATATCTCAGCTTTCTGTATTGTCCATAGCAACCAAATTCCAACTGTTACTTTTTTGTCAAGGTAATGGCAGACATTAAATTTGTGCCTATTGACTTTTGTACACTGAACTGCGGGGCCATCTAAAGTCTGAGGCTGGACATACACTGTGGGTGACGCTGCCAGCTCAACAAAAGTTGGTTGAGTAATCAACTTTTGTCAAAGAAGCCAGGCTTAAAATGTTCACCCTAACAGTGATTGTAGCCAATGAGCAGGCGCCCACTGTGAGCATACAAAAGCTGCAGCAGATTTGTCCATCCTTTGTCCATAGATTGTGAGCTCTCATGGCAGGGCCCTCCTATCTTGTCTTGAATTGTATTTTAAATGTAATGTCTTCCATAAATTGTAAAGGGCTGTCCAATTTGATGGTACTATATAAATCCTGTAAAACAATAATCCATGCTGTTTAGCGAGGATGGAAGAACCAGTTACATTGTTTTCATTCAGCTTGCAGGCTGAATGAAAATATCTACTAGTGTATGGCCAGCTAATGGGGAACCCGCTGAGGATTTTTGGGGAAAAGCAAAAGAACAAGTGTGTTTACCCCTGGTAAGACATTGCTGGTTGTGCCTTACAGGGTGCTAACACAAATGCCATTGCTGGTTGTGCCTACAAAGGCTAACACAAATGGCTGCACAATGTACCATGTCTAGAGACCCCGTATCTGTATAAATGCCTGGGGGCAGTCAGATCATGCTTGTACATTTGACTGCATTTATAAAATGAAAGGAGCACTCTGATTGGTTGCATCTGATAACACTAGACTAATTTCAGATGTATTCTAGGTGGCAGAAATGTGAACAAAGATAGGCTGTGACATCTACAGAGGGACAATATGGATCACGTAAAAACATTGGAGGATTAAATGTACTTCTATAATAGAATAATGTACCAATGTGACAGACTAGAACACCGCACGTACACAAATACTCAACCTATTTACTGATAAGACATACTCAAGACCGTTTAATTGTTCAGTTTTCATTGACAATAATTTACTAGGTTTTTAGCTGTTGGGTGATGCATTTTTTGCTAAGGGTAGTGTTCTTTTAAATAAGACTAGCATGAGACTTCCCCTCATTATTCCTCAGATGTAGAATGTTCAATATATCCCCAGCTGTGCGATCTCAAGTGTGTATATGAAATGACTGAGGCAGTGACACAGTCTTGCTGATCTGAGCCATTTCCACAGAGCTGACTAGACAAGATTGTACTTGAATGGAGCAAGAAAACATGTATGGAAATATTTAGTAACATATTTCTGATAATCACCATACCCTGTATATTTATATTAGATATAGTATTTGGTAGGAAGAAAACAAAGAGGAGCAGATTGACCATCAAACGCATTTAAGCTGGCCATACGCTGGTTGAATTTCGGGAGAGTCCTGCTGACTTGCAAGCAGTGTGTGGCCCTCTTGAGATGTGGTTTGTTGTTCCAAAACATTGCATTAATCTGTAACATGTGTGAATATGCACAAATAAATTGATATTGCATTAGGAAATTTTAGCAGCCAGCATATAGGGTCCAATAACGGTGTGAGATGAAGTTTTCTCAATGATCATGTTACAAATGGAGCAGAGCTGTGGCTTGCTGAAATATTCCCTTCATGATAGAAATGTGCTTATGATGGGAACTCTAATATGTATGGCTGTAGAAGTAGGGCATTGCAGGGATTGACATGTATAGAAAACATCTCTCCATGTCTCTGTGCATCTTGTAAGATCAGATAATTTTATACATCTGCTTACATGTGGAGAATATCAGGTTTTGAAGTAAACCTGTCATGAGAAGAAAATAGGAGCTGCCACTTATCTCTGTCTAAAAATGCTCCCAGCCTGGCAGTTATGCTGAGCCTCTGGCTTCAACACTTTCTGTGTCACTCACCTGACACTAGTAAGCCAGAGAAAAGCCAGAATTCCCTATCTGCTTACTTGGTCCTGGTAAATGTTGAAGTGAGAGGGTCAACATCCAGGCAAATAGCATTCCATAAGGAGAAGCCAGCAGTCTCCATGTTTCTCCCATGACAAGTTTCCTTCAACTAGCATGCTAATTCATCATCGGAAGGTTGCATGTCATCCTGCTACATCTATTCCACTGACATAAGCAGAAAGCTTATAGTCATGTTTAGAAACATCAGTCATTAATAAGAACTCAGGGGACATGGTTGAATACCAGACTTTGCTTGTAAAAGGATGTTATGTAATGTTTGCGGCTTTGGTGGTTGGTGTTGGACTCATCCCCTCCCATAACACACACAAGCAGCTTTCTTTTCCGAGTACAGAAGGTAATGGCCCACTGTATTCATAAATACACATTCCACTTCACACTGAACTGTATGACTTCTTACAGTTCTTACATGACTTCTTACACCTCAATGCCTCCTGACCTGTAAAATATATTTCTTACATTCCAGGTAAACAAAATGCAATATTATTCTCTGTACTATAATACTTACCTCTCATGCTCTTCAGTGAGTCTTTGATAGTCAGAAGCTAACATTTCACGCTGCTTATTCTCCTGCACCATTTTCCCCTGCTCCTCCTTTAAAGCCTTTTCCAGGTCCTCTAACTGCACTTTCTGTTTCAGCAGCTGGTTGTATCTAGAAAAGAATAAATACAATCCACATTTATATAATCTTACTCTGAGACAGCATATTAAATCTTTGTGTAAGCATGATCTAGAATCTGGCACAGGTCCTCTGGCTGCTGTTGAACTACAAGCTCCAGCAAAACCTCATCAGAAGAAGCATGCTGGGATTTCTAAACAGCAACGGCTGCAGCTTCCCAAAGACGTGAATGGCTGTTTATTGATGTTTCTTTCTTTAATAGACATCGTTGTCTGCTTCTTAGAACAGTCATTAGCAGCCAAAGTTGAAACAGAATAATGGGGCTCTTGTCTGATTCTTGACGCTGATGTCCAGCAAACTTGTATCAAATATGAAAAAATGCTTTTCTTGGCCTAAACACAGAGCACGCTCCAGGAAATGAGCACAGAGGCTCAGCCACGGCCTTGTTTTCCTTTCTCGGTAAACAATCCTGACATTTACAAACCCGGTTGGAGACCCAGTGATGATTAGGTGTGGTAAAGTCACAGGGCGTCCTTGCTGGGCAGATGTGTTCTGCAGCTCTGCGCTTTTACACACGGATATTAGTACAAAGTAGCTAAATGGTGGAGCTATCCTAAAATTCTCCTCTCAATACACATATCAGATTTACTTTGTATATGTAATTTCACTGTGTGCTTTCAATACTTTTGCAATACTTTTTTTTTTTTTATAAATGCCAAATCATGCACACATTGCGATTTCAGGCAGGTCACAGGAATCAAAGTTAGAATCACTAATCCACTGGTCAATCGGGATTGTTTTGCACATATTTTGCAGCCCATGTTTATCAATACGGCTAATTTTCCTTTATTGATTCAGGAAAAAATTGCTTGAATGCAGCACCAATCTGGGTATGGTCTGTGGCAACATTCTTTCTACAATGATTACAACAAAGCAAACCATTAGAGAGTATAAATCTGAACTTAAAGCAGATAACAAATACCATTAAGGTGAGCAATCTGAATTAAGACCTCTTCTGCTCAGTACAGTGCTGTTAGTCTACCATTGTGAGCATGCATATGATTGTGCTATTACTATTTTATTGTCCACTCAATAGACTAAGGGTAGCTACAGCTGTACTGGAGAACTGGAACCTGATTATGCAGGGGCAGGAACACCTGGACTAGTAAAGAGGATGAACATAATTGCAAATGTTTTTGACAACACAGTTTACATTTCTGTATCTCAACTGTGAATCTAGCTGTTTGCATATGTTACCAAAATTCAAGCTGAGGCCCACATATATCCTGATATTTTAAAATATCAAACAGGGATACTATTAAAGTAGTACTTTAGCCATGTTGAAAACTCTCCTCAAACTTATGTTATGGCTTAAGATTAGGGCTCTGTGTAGGCCACTCGAGTTCTCCCACACCAAACTAGTGAAACTATGTCTTTATGGAGATGGCTTTGGGCACGGTCATGCCTATACAGTAAAGGGCCTTCCCCAAACTGTTGTCACAAGGTAGGACACAAGGAAAAACACCAATTGTCTACAATGTTTTTGTCTGCTGTAGCATTAATAGTACCCCGTACTGGAAACACCTAAACTAAGTGAGGTGCTCCCACATACATTTGGGGATAGAGGTAGGTGTTATGGTTAGATGGCCATAAACTTTTGGCAATTATGTGTGTCTGTGGGCAGCTTAACAAGTGTAATCCTCTTGTACAGTTTTCTACATTCTCACCAATAGTCAGACATGTAGTGCACAGCCAGGATCATTGCTGTATTTTAGTGCCACACTCCCTTACTTATAATACACTAAAACCTTGCCTGAAGTTATTTAGCTCCATTGTGGACCTGAGAATCCAGACTGTCCTAACACAGCTATAGGAACAGCTACATGTAATGGGAGTTTCCTTCTCTGAAAATCCACTCACATACAATAGTATAATTCAGTTCTCTGGCTGATACAACTGAGCTAACAGAAGTTAAAGCATTCAGATTAGCTTTGGTGCCCACAAAATGGCAATGTATTTGTCAGGGATCACAATCAATTGCTGGATTTAATTTAATTTTTTAATAGCACAAAAACGTAACTCAGCAGTTCATCTAAATCAGTGCAAAGTCATACCGGTCTACGAGATCTTTGTGTTCCACCTCCAGATTTTTATGTGCAGACTTTAGGTTGCCATGTTTAGAGATGAGCGATTCATACTCTCCTGCTTGGCGATCATGAACCTGTGCCAGCTTTTCATGGTCTTTTACCAACAAATCGTACATCGATTTCAGCTCTTCTCTCTCCTTTACCAAAGACTCGTTCTCTGTTTCTAAGCTAGACTGCTGAAGGAGGAGCTGAGAATTTTGGTTCATTAATGAGGTGCTCTGAGAGTTGAGAGTAGAGTTTTCAACCTGAAGATAAAAATAGAACATAGAAATAACTTGTTACAGTCATTAGGTGGCACCAACATTTTTAACAGTGTTTCAAAGAGTGCACAGAAATATCCACATCATAACTTGCACCAGTGGAGGGTATCAGTGGTGGAGATTGCAAAAGGCCTCTGCGTAAAGGGACAAGTGGAACCCCCCTGTGAAGTCCATGACCAATCTGCCAGAGTACCACCTGGCCTTTTTGAAGGAAACCACTAGGCACCTATTAAAATAAAATCACAAAAATGAAAAAGCGCCACTACTGTAAAACCTTTACTCACGTTGCTGGTGTCAGCATACAGCGTGTCAGCTCGTTTGGAGATGTCGGAGAGCAGTCTAATAGCTGTCGGGGGTGATTGTTTAAACACCGCGGTCTCAGCTGGCCAGGCTGAGCCGCGGCTGTGTGGGTGTGAGGCAATGTCAACTGCCGGACCGTTCGGGGACCAAAGGAGTCGATCTGAGCGTGTCTCGGGTATGTCAAAAAACGGAGGAGAATGGAAGAGATGGACAGGGGCAGTGTCCAATGCTGACGGCTATGCGTTTCGAGGCTCTGCCTCTTTGTCAAGCCTAAGTGGGGAATGCAATAGAGATGGCGGGATATCTTGCCTGTGTTTAAATTTGACAGCTGGGAGGAGTCAAACGTTTTCTGTAATGGATGTGATTGGTGGGGGAGTCGGGTCTCAGTGTACACTCCCATTTAGGGCCGTGCTTGAGCATGGATCCTGCCGAGCACGTATATCATAACGATATGGTGATAGGGGAGAAGAAGGGGCGGCATATCTACGGCATTTTCGTCTGAGAGGCCTAGATGATCTAGTCTAAGTGTGTGGCTACAGAATGAAAAGGGTGTATGTCATAGGAAAATCTTAGATACAGGATGAGCGTCTATAAGGACTATGTTTGCACTAGGCACCTAATTGAATGTTATTCCTGCCAGAATCATTGACTATTTTTTCTCTGTCCAATATCATTATTCACTAACACATCTACTGCAGTTCTCTCCTTACAGGCACCAGGACCAGTACTATCAATGGTGTTATTTACATCTACGGAACCAATCCAACAACTTAGCCCATTACCATTCAAACATTTAGGTTTCTGTCCTCTGCATAACATGCAGTGGATGTTTAACAATTGCCCCTTAGCAGTTCTCCTCCCATAGGATCACTTATTTTGTGCCACCTGGAAAAGCAATACTTCCATCTATTGCCCCAACAACAGTCATAAGCAATCATAGATCAGTTTTAAGAAGAAGACATCAACTGCCACAGCAACCTACTACAAATGTGCTCATAATTACATGTATATGTATAGCTATAACTAAAGCCAGACTGACTTTCATTAACAGTCAGCAAGACTAGATGGAAGCATGACAGACATATGTGACCATTTCCTAAATACACTAATTGTACCCAATACAATGTGCCTATATTATTTTAGGACAGCTACAAGACTAGCCACCACAGGTCATTTAATGCAAACTGTGAAGGTAGAAATATGGTAGCTGCCAATGAAAACTTATTTTAGGTGCAGTTTCAAGGGTTGCCATTCCAATCATGGTTCACTACCAAGTGAGTCATTGACCTAGAACAATCATGCAGGATGTGAATTCAAACTTCAGACTTCACTGGCTGCATGCTTGTTTAAGGTAAATGACTTACTAAGTGGGGAAGTTAGGATCAGGTTTGAAGCCCTGGAACCTGCACCTTCAAAAACAAATAGCTACATTTCTATCCTTGGAAGTTGACTTTGAGCTGGAATTTGCATTCAAAACCATACCGCCAGGTGGCACGATTTATTATGATTTACCTGCAGTTTGGCGTTTTGTGTCTGTAGAGTTGTGTTTTGCTCCTGCAGTGAAATGGTTTGTTTTTGAAGAGTCAGAATTTGTGCTTGTAAGTTGTCGTTTTGATTTTCCAGTTGTTTCAGCTGAGTTTTCAGTGCTTGCTTTTCTGCCTGCAGAGTAGCATTCTGAAGAAAAACAAAATTTAGGCCATATAAATGATCAGATGTATGTGCATCCTGCCTCTGAATTCTTGCTTTCCTTTAAGCTGACTGTTAAAAGAGATGGAAATGTTCTCTGCGATTTACTGTGAAAAATCAAAATAAGTAGCTGTATTGATGGAGAACAAGGAGGAAAAGCCTACGATTACATCAAAGGTTTGGTTGATAAAGTGTGCCAGCATTTAAGGAGTAACTAAATCCTGTAAATGAGACCGGTAACGGTGGGAGATGCTAAGCGGTTCCCAGTAATGCAGGTTTTAGCATGAAGTATCACATTTTAGGTGAAATTAGTCAAATCTTTTTGCAGAGAAGATTGTAAGCTGCCACTTAAATATAAGTTGCCTGGTTCTCATTAAAAGCCAATGGCTCCAGTACAGACCCTACTCAGAGTGCATGCTTATTCTAGCTTAGAGACTCAAAACTGGAGGATTACCATGGCAGATAGTCAGCTAATAAATGTTTGCAGTCAAAAGAGCATCTTGCATGTTTCCCCACAGTATAGGTTCATCTAATATCTGGCTTACATTTCTCTCGACTTCTATCAGGCGATCTTTGATCTTCAGCAGCTCCCTTGTGGTCTCCTGGCTCTCTCGCTCCCATTTAGGGATGGGTACACTGTCCTCTCCAGGCTTAGAAAGTGAGCTCTGTGTCAACTTCTCCTCCTCTTGTCGCTGCTTAAGTCCTTCATAATTCTTCTTCACCTGAAAAATTAGAAAATATGCTAGCTGCACATGCACATTTTGTTAGACGGAACTCCAACTCTATCTATCTATCTATATTGAAGGGGGGGGTCTTGGAACACCCTAAATGTGTTGGCTGTCTTTTAAATAACTACTGTGACAAATACACTTTATTTGGGCTATCTTCTACAAATGTCAAACAGCAACAAAAAAACTTTAGTATAGTGGACTGGAAGGCCTGTCGGGTATTTGCAGATGTGTCCGAATTAGGGAATTTTCCCTGCCCTTCCTGTCCCAGTGACAAGTGATTTCAGCAGTTCAGCAGTGGGAATCATCAGCTACTTCCATTCATTCAGCAGGGCAACCACAAATCTCATGCATAGTAGAATCTTCCTGAAGAGTAGCAGCCAGCAAAATTAATCTTTAAAAATAACTCACAGTTTTTAGTTCTTGGCGTAGTTGTTGATTGAAATTAGTCGATTCTTCTAACCGGGCTTCAAGTGAGGCAATTTTTTCCTCCTTTATTTCAAGAGACTTCTTTAACGTGGATTCTAATTTGGACTCCAAAAGCTTATATCTGATGTGAGGACATGGAAAAAAAATGTCACATTAGCTGCTTCCAACAACTATAAATTTGCCTTTAAAAGAATTACAGTTCATTTCTAATACTGAAAGTCAGAATTCCTAACTTGTGCCTTCCAATTACCATTAAAGATTTGTGGCTTAGCTAGCTACCTAGCTCCAGCAGTTCAAGCATGTGTCCACTATTATAGCGGACCTGTTCTCAAAATAAGACTCCTCTTTAGGAAAAATCTGGCAAATAGGTTTTCACCTTGTGGGATACTTTGAAAGCATTCCTTCAAGGCTGTCTCCTTCATCAAGAAAGAATCCCATAGCACTGACTGGGACCTAACTTCTGCATTGGCAATCTAACAAGCTGAATACTCAAAGACTATTCCTAATGCTGGGAAGAGAAAGGACGGCATAATCTATTCTTCAAGAATAAACACCAACAAGCTAGCTGCACATTTTGTTAGGCAGAACTCCAGGACTTTTGTGTTGATGGGTTTTGGGAATGTGTTTATGGCATCAGTTTGGCATAAATTTGGGACACTTCCAAGATCATTTAGAATTAATTGACTGATGCATTGAACCTGCAGTTGACCTCTTTCTGACCTGCATGCAAACAAAAGCCAAATGAAACAATGAAACAGACCCTTAATAGTTATTGCACACTACTTTAATAACCTTTTCATCTTTATTGCATTCATCTATATTTCAAGCATGATTTCAAATAAAAACGGTCAATTATTTCATCACGGAAAGAAAACATTGAAATCTTAAGGAGGTAAAAGGTATGTACTTATGGGCTATTCCTGCAGAGTTTAGGTCCTGAGCTTCTATGCATCTAGTACTATAAACATGTCATCTACGGAGACAATATCTCTGATGTATGCAAGAAGAAAGGACTCCTGAACAGCTGTTCATAAGAACATAGGACCATGAACATGTCTGCTCCTATTAGTGGAGCGTGCATTTACACACTGAGCTGAGTGTGCAGCCACCCCAGAGCAAGATAGCTCAGAGGAACACCCCCAATTATATGGAACAATCTACCCCGTCTGTTTGATTTTCCCCTGGAATTGGTCACCTCTGGGGCAAATGCATGCTGCCCACAGACAAGTGATCAATGCCCTGTCAGCCGCATTGTGTGACAGTTGTTTCATGTCTGACAATCTACCAGGTGTCACGTTCAAGCTTGTATTTTTCTTAGACTACTTTTGCAAAATTGTGAAATGATCCTTTTAGAACTAAAATGATGAATGTGTAAAGTCTTACAGCGATCAAATAGTTACCATCCAGGAACAGCTGTTCCATTACATACCTCTCTGGCACTAGTTTTTTCAAAGTATGTTAAAAGCTTTCACAACACAGTTATTTCATTTCATGTTACCTTTCTTTTTAAACAAAGACTGCATTATGTGTCCCACTTCTGGTTTCTGAATGGAGGGACTGCTAAGGGGCATGTATGAGTGATAACCTCTAGATCTGTCCCTGGGGCAGAACTGCCCTTCAAACCCTTCAAAGAAACTGAGCTACGGCTTGCTGTGTACATATATTTATACTAATTGAGTCTGCCAAACTGTGACTCAGTTCAGAATTCCCTCATGGTTTCCCACAATAACAATGACTAATCTTATTAACAGATTACAAATAATGGCATATAGTGTAAAGGAGTTTACTCAAAATATCATGAAGCAAGACTGCCTTGCACATGACATGTTCAATTTTCAATTCAACAGCATAGTTTAGGGATATCTGTATAAGTTAAAGTGCATGGTTGGGAAAAAAAACACTTATTAGGTACATCCCTCTAATACATGCACATTTCCCCATATGCTATCCTTTTACAAATGCTGCAATACATGGAAACACCTACTTATCCTGACAGAAATCTAATGAGCTCTTAATTTGCTGTTTGAGCTAATAACACAATGCATCTGCTGCACCGAAATCCCAACCAGCATGGTTTGACTTCCAAAAGCCTGCCCACATACTGTTTGTAGGGAAGGTGCCTTTGGGAGATGCAGGGCTACAGACGGCAAAGCACTGACCTTTTCCATTAAACCACATACCCTTCTACCGCTGTGTTAGAGAAAGTACAAAAGCTTTGGCTGCAATGAAACATATTAGGCAGTGTAAAAACTAGTACTATTTCATCTTCTGTCAATAAGGACAACAGATCTTACATCTGCACCCTGCCTCCTAGCTGCTCATTGCACAGGCACTTCCATAACCCTTCTTATGTGCACACCTATTACCTAATAGATATAATGGAGATGGAAAAAGAAGAAGCAGAACCATGGTTGATGGGAGCAGCAAGTGCATATGGGAAGAGACAGCAGCTTACAGAGACCAAAAAAAGTATTTTGAATGTAGAACCTTTGTTGCTTGGACATCCTACTTAGGGACAATCTTAGAAACAATAAACACACAGTAGTAACTCACAAAAGAAGCACTGCTCCTCCACAGCTCAGGAAAGGAATGAGCCGGGTGCTTGCTGTTGGGAGCATGTCTTCGCTCCAATATGAGCCCCATACAAGCAGAGGAAAAGCTGGCCACACAGCGGATTCTGCTGGGATAGTTTATTGAAACTTGTACCTCATCACTGGTGTCCAGCCCAAGGTCCTCTCCACTTGACGCGTTTCACCCAATCACAGGCTTAATCAGAGATATTCCACCCCATGGAGGGGGTGGACCTTGGGTGGGACAACAGTGATGTGGTACAAGTTTCAATAAACCATCTCAGTGCAATCCGGTGTGCGGCCAGCTTTTCTTCTGTTTGTATGGACACAGTAGTAACTCTTGTACTCACCTGTCATCACTGTTCTGCTCATCCTGTAAGAGACGCTCTTTATTTAGGCCTATCTTTTCTAGCTCATGGGCTAGTTTTTCCAGCTCATTATTTGTTTGCTGGGTTTTCAGCTTTTCATTCACCAGGTCCTAAAAATAAAATAAAAAAATCCAACAGTCATTTCATTACTACAGCCAACGATATGAGCGGAGTTCTGGTAAGTGGATACTACAGGGAGATGGAAGACTGTCTGTAACTGGGAGACACATGACTGGCTGGGCCACTGTTCCCATGTATCCTGGTTGCAGTTCCATTCCTGATATGACATCATGTGAAAATTCCTGATTTTTACACTATGTAAAAAAATACATGGTAATATCATACAGTAATACTGTAAAAGAGTGTGCTAAAAAAAATTGTACAACAAAAGTGCATACAGTACATTAGTGCATGCAAATCTCAGAAACCAAGTGCGTTGTTTTAAAGTGCATTATGATGGGACATGAAAACCTACATCACACATTTTTATGTGCTTACTTTGTACTCAACAGAGCCTTGTACTCATCGGTGCATCAATAATCATACATGTACTTCATTAATCAATTTAAATCTGAAAATGCTATTTTGGATTTCTAACAAAGAGTGTCTGATTTACTAAAGTAGCAAAACATGTTCACAAGGCAGTTTTTACTTTGCAAGTGAATTTTCACTTACACCACGTTGTGAAAATTCACATTGCAAAAAATATCCAATCAAGATAAAAAAATTTAAAAAAAGATTTTTGCTTGCATATGATTGGATGAAAGAGATCAGCTGAGATTCCCCTTATTTACTAAGGTAAGGGTAATTCCCTGGCCAAGTGAAAAATCACTTCACAAAGTGAATATGCCTTACTTATTTAGTAAATAAGCCACACTAATGAATAGGGCTGCATAGGTGCAAACAAGCCCTTGGAGTATGTCAGTTTATCTACATCAATGCAACAGTCTGTATTTCTATAGTAAGTAAATGGAGAAATAATTTAAGGCAGGTTTTTGTCTGCAAAGAGAATCTCCAATCATATATATTCTTTTCTAATAAAGGCGCAACACAGGAATCTCGCTTTACCTCCAGTGGCCCACCTTCTGATATTCAGGGGGTACTATACCTATTTATATGTGTTGTGCCTGTAAAACACTAGCTGACTGTCAAGGGCTGCACTGATGATGCTAACAAGAAAAAAAAGATGAGTTAATTGATAACAGTGGGGATAGAGTGCTGTTATTAAATTAACTAGATAGGATTGGGAGCTACTACGGACATAGCAGAAATGTACTGCCAAATGTCCTTGAAGGTCAAGAATAACTAATGAAAAATTATATATAGTGCAAGCCACAAGTTCACATATGAAACCACATTTATTATCTATTAAATGTGAACCATTAAGATAGCTAGCATGTCTCTCCGCATTCTGCTCTACTGTTAATATAGCATCAATAAAAAGTGGCAAAAAACTAAATAAAACATACATTTTTATATACAGTGTATATCCTAATATAAGAATTGCTCATGCGGTGACATGGATGATCGATTTAGACCACAGTGATAAAAAAATTTGAGTACACATAATGGTTTATAAATATTTGATGAAGACAAAATAACAGAACAGCTGCATGTCAACTGCAGATAATGAAACGTGACATCAGTTGTCTCCCTTCCTTCCTTGAATAAAATTCTCTGGTTGAAAAAGGAAACATGATCCTCCCAGAATCCACCACAAAGCACAGTTCCCCTTTTCAATCCAGGATTTCCCTTCAGTTCTTGTAGAAAAACCCCCCCACAGACGAGCAAGTTTAAAGGCTGCATTTGTTTGTTTGAAAAAAGTCAACTAGTGTATAGCATGAATAGGCAAGTTGCATAGAAGACTGCAAAACATCAGGGGCTGCAGAATGGGCTACATGAACTGCAGCAACAACACTCATGAAAATATACAGCTCATGCTCTTGTCAATTTCTGCATTATTTTATTGCCTTTAATATGAAAATGTAATGAGAACCAGCAATACATGTGCTTATGCTGGATTCTGAATGCTCCATAACCATGCAGGATTGCATAGGCAATGTATATATTTGAACCCCCAAATCCTCCTACAAATTGGACACGTTGCAAAATTTCTAATGCAACACACTATGGTGCATTGCCATACGTGTGCTTGGCCTTAGTGTGTTGGAATGCCATTTAAAATGAATGCCAACGCAGTGCACGTAACGTGTCTTCCCACAACACAGATGTACACGGGCCCTCAAACATAGCAAGACACTAATGAAAAAGTGTGGTTGGAGGAATGTGTATTGCCAGTTATTGTATTCAGCCAGCCACGACACCCGCAGCTGCCTATTGTCCAGCCAAGATTTAGCCTGCACAACGTAGATGTCTATAGTGTAGAATAATATTGAAAATAATGGTTTACCTCTCTTAGTGTGATTAGTGTTCTTTTATCAATAGTTGCTCTCTTCACAAGTTCCTTGTTCTCTTTTTCCAGTTCTTTGAGCCTTGCACATGACTCTTTAAATGCATTTGTTTCTTTACAAAGTAATTTATTTTCCCTCTCTAAATTGGAGATCTTCACGTTATTCTCCTCCAACGTGATTTCTTTAATCTCGACCTGCTGGCGCAGCCTTTTGTTCTCTTTCTCAAGTTGCTTCTTGTCCTTTTCTAGCTGACAGGTCTCCTGCTCCAAAAGCTTAGTCTCTTTTTCTAGGTGTTCCAGTCTCTTGCTGGAGATTTTTAGCTCTTCCAGGTTCTTCTGCAAGGTCTGATTTTCCGTCTCTAGCTCCTGAAGCTCAGTTTCCAGCTGCTGAATTTTTTTATTGCTATTTTCCAGAGCCTTTTGCAGCCTTTGGTTCTCCGTGTCAAGCCCTTGGTAACTGACTTCTAAACGCTCAGTTTTCTTGCAAGATGCTCTCATGAGGTCCATACCTTTCTTTAGTTGGCCTTTCTCATTTTCTAGCTCTTTGTTTTCTAGCTCCAGCTGGGCTACCCTAATGTTTGTGCTCTTCAGTGACTCAACCATCCGCCTGAGGTCCAAGTTCTCTTCTTCAAGCTGTGAGTTCTCCTTCTCTAATGATTCCATCTGATACTTGAGATTTTTGAGACCATCCAATGTTTTTTTTAGCTTACGGTTTTCTATTTCTAACCCAACATTTTCTTGTTCCAAGGACTCTGCCTTTTCACTGACAATGTTTAAGCTGGTGATCTTCTTCTGTAGCTGTTCATTTTCTTTTTCTACCCGATGCAGTTCCTTTTCCAAGTCCTCAGCTCTTTCTCCCTTTTCCCTAAAATGTTCAAGTTCTTTTCTGAGCTGCTTCTTTTCAAACTCCACCTTATTTAGTTTGCTACTTGTTTCTTTGATGGACTCATGCAAGATCTTATTTTCCTTTTCTATATCCTTTACTCTGGCTTCAGCACCAATCTGGGAACGTTGCCTCAAGGACGCGATGGTTTGGTTCAAATGCTCATTTTCTTGTTCCAGCCCTTTGATCTTAGAGACAAAATCAATTACACTGTAATTAGAGCATTTTTTACAATGATTTAAAGCCTAATACGAATACATACATTCTTTAGAAACAAGAACTATGTGCTTTAGAACGTCTTTACTTCCTTAATATCTGAATTCTTTATTCACTGCAGTTCTCAGTAGATAGAGCTTGGATTTCGGATGAATGTATAAAGCACAAAAAATACAAGCTAGAGTTTGTATCAAATTGAAGTAAGCCTTGAGAATGTGTTGGTACAGAAACCAATGACTACAAATGTCCCATGGCACCCTTACTACACACCAAAGATTTTTGCGAAAGAAATGGAGACAAATCTTTTTCTGTGCAGGTGCCATATTGTAATGTCAGCCAAGTCAGGCAAAAAGACTGAGGTAGGACATGATTTCAGGTGCACAGATCTTCTGTTTGACGTTCTTGCTGAGATCTCACCGGCTATGGTAACCTACTAAAAATACTGTGCATTTCCTTCAAAGGTCTAAACACCCATTAGAAGTAGACTGTCAGTTAAGACTCTGGTCATTTACAGTAATTAAGCCCTTGAAGGAAGCCATATGGCACTTGTTAAAGAGGGCGATGAATGTACAGTTATCCTTAACAAAATTAAGAGGAACTAAAGCAATGAGCCCCATTAGCAGTAATGTTAACTGACTGCGTCAGAAATAATTTTTTTTTCTTTCTTCTTTAATCAATTTGCCAGACATCTACGGGCGAGGGCATTATCTGAACAGTAAGCATCACCTTCATACCTGTCTCTCTGAGTTCTCACGCAGCGTCTCTATGATCTTCTCCAGCTGTGACTTTTCCTTCATAAGGTCATCACTCATTTGTTGGCTGCTCTCAATGGTCTGTCGCTCATGAATTAATTCCGCTTCTATTTTCTCAAGCTAAAAAAAAAAATGAGGTAGTTTTACACTTATAGTTAGCAACCAAGTTCACTTGGGTCCTACAGTAATGAAAGTTCCTGAAAAATGTTTTCCAAGCAGCCCTATAAGGAGACACCTTTTTATAGTTTGCAAAGACCCCTGCTCAGTACTGAAAATGAATGTTAAGCAACGTGCTAAACACTATAATTCAATGGAAAGTTATACAGGACTATACCATAGCAGGTTTCAAAGTGTAAAGCGACAAACAATTACCTTCAGGTGAACTATACACATATCTCTATAACAGATACATATTGAATTAGTTTCTCCATATATTATTGTAAACCTTTCCAGTATTTCCAAATGACCACCCATTCAATCTTAGTGTTGTAATAAGAAAAGCAACAGCCTCACCATCCCTTTATGAATGTAAAATTGTTGGAAATTATCACAACAAACAGGAAACTCCTGTAAAAGAATGCCTGTGATTTGACTTCTGTGTAGACTGAGATATCAGGGGATGTCTGTAATTTGGGAAAATCAGAGAGCCAATCATGTGGGCAGGGGAGATTAGAATTTTGGGCTGTTATATATAAATAAATGGAAGAATGCCCCATAGCCATAGTGACAAAGAAGATCATTTAATAAAGGTTTCACTAAATCATAGCTAGCTGCAGACTAAAATGAAAGGTCGTGTTAAACTGCAATTTTGCTTAACAAAAGAGTTTTTCTTCTAAAAACAAGAACAGAGCCGATATAAATGAACCATGCATAGAAGAGGAATCGGTCATCAATAATGACAGCCAGTAAGAAGTCAGCTTGGCCATACTTAAACTGTGAGCCATCAGGATCCACCAGGACCCACCACAATCTTTCTTACCAACCCAGATGACAAACAGATATAGCATGTACTCAGACAAAACCTGTTTTTTGAAGGCAACAAGTGACAATACTGAAATTGTCTCAAAACAGTACTGACATTTTCTCAAAAGTTCCAATTTCTCATCAGTTAATCCTTACATGGCTCAGTTGTGGAAAGGGATGCCCAAAGGTCCCATCTCTTTATTAGGCTGTGTAGTGCCACCCTAAAACTAGATAGATCCCAGGACCCCAAAGACCAACATGTCCTATTGAGTAGCTGTGGCCAAGGTCTGTCCACTATTTATGTTACATATTAATAATTTTCACACCTGCTCCCTTATGCATCTACCATAAGAGATATCAATCATGGGCAGGTGAACCAACAGTTCACAAATTGGTTCAACTTTTTTTTTTTTTAAGAATAGCTCATATTATTTTCACATTATGAGTTTATTCCAGAACCACCATAGAATAAGAATGTTACCTTCTTGCTTAGTCTTTGGTTTTCTTTTTCCATTTTCAGGATTTTGGCATTCGCACCCTCTGTGGAGCCCATTGCTTTCCTCAGTTCTTCCACTGTGGTCAGCAAAGTTTGGTTTTCCATCTCTAATTTAAGCAGCCGGCTGGAGGTCAGCTCATTCACTTCATGTCCCAGTGACTTTTGTGGTGCTACATAACATTTACAAAGAGGCCATGCAATTTAGATTTTATCCATAAACTATAGTGTAAAATGCTTTTTTTTAGTGATTAATCTCCAAACTTAAATTATTATAACGGTTACAAAAAAAATAATAGACTCCTTATACATGCCCAGAAGAAATAAATCACAAGAAAATCTCATAAAATGAAAAATGTATGGCATAATCTCAGCAAGACATGATTCCTTAACCCATGAACGACACAAATGTGTGTAGAGCAGTTGTTCCAATTTTTAAAAACATTTTGTAAGGTTAAAGCAGAAATCCAGCCAAGAAGATAAATACACCAAAGTATACTGGTTTAAAAACAATAAATAGCTTTATAAAACTAGAGACACAAGCATGGGAGGAGGTAACAAGGGAGCTAAAGAGACAGATGTCTTGGGAGGAGAGATTGGCTGATATTTGAGACAACGTTGGTGATGTACTTGAAGGAAGAATTGTTGATGGCATTGTATTATGTTGTTAGTTTTTTGAATGTTATTCGCTGAGTGAGTGGAAGCCATTGGAGTGGGGGTTACTGAACAGTTGGGTAAGGTAGATAAGTCTTACAGTAGTGAGTAAGGAGTTGGAATAATCAAGATGAGAGATAGAAAGTGATTGGATTTTTGGTGTCATTTGTCAAGAGGTAAAAGTTAAAGGAGGTTAGGGTGGCGAGATTTGTACAGTGATTGGATGTGGGGCCAAAAGGAGAGGTCAGAATCCAGAATTACACCTAGCATCCTGACATTAGAGAAGGGACTGGTGGTTATGCTACTGATCTCATCGGAAAAGTTGGTGGGAGGGAACATGGGGGAATAATATAAGCTCAGTTTTGAAAAGATTAAGTTTCAGGTAGTGGTGTGACATCCATGCAATATGTGCGAGGAGACTGATGGGTTCAGCTGAGGAGTAGAAAGATAGATTTGAGTGTCATCAGCATAGAGATGGTTTTGGAAGCCTTGGGCGGGTTGTTAACGTAGGGAGGTCGTGTAGATAGGGATTTAAGGGGTTGGAGGACAGAGCCTGGGTCCAGGATGAACTGGGCTCAGAGAAAGTGGGTTGAATGATGTGGGAGGAAAAAAATTACTGTGGGAGAAATCTCTGGAGTGAAGCTGAATATTGCAGAAAAAAAACTGTTTTTTATGTTTTATTGAGCAATTCATTTTTATCCTGCTATTTTTGCCTGGAGTTTTGATTTAATCACTGAAAAATCCCATTTGATCTTATCAATGTACAGTAATCTGTACCTAAACTTGCATAGCTGTAACTATTGGGCAGGTGTTATGTAAAGTATATACAATATGGCTTTACCTACACCTCTAAAAACACTGTAGAAGCATGATCTTACAAAATAAAAATGTAGCTGGGAACAAACATCACTTACATATTACACTAAACAAGATACTTGTATAGCATAATTAGAAAGCATGACCAAAACACTATGCGAAAGATCCAGAGACAGACCTGACCTAAAATGTTCCATGTAGTTACTACCACATTTACTGGCGTTAACCCCTTCTTTCATGTGAAACTGATATGGGTGTAATTGTAAGCTACTGTAGTAACCATTTCATATACATGATATAAAGCAAATGTCTTTATAATTATTTATGATAATTAAGTTATATAGGGTCCAGTGCAACATTTTAAACAACTTTTGGAACCAACGTAAAACTCCTTTGAACAGTGTCCCCTTAAAACCTTTCATTGCAGTTAGCAGGTATAAATGGGAGCCCTCAAGATGCCCTAAGTATTTAGAACTGAATATGACTGTAGATCGTATAGTATGCCAGGTGGTAGTATACAATAGTAAACGTGCATACGCCAAATATGTTCCCCACAAGGGTATACATGTATACCGTACAACAACGACAGACATCTAGATAGACATTCTTCATACTTTCCGGGAGATCACTGGTTTTAGACAGCTGTTCCAGTTCCCAGCCAAGATGTAACGACTCATCCATGCTTTGCTTCTGAGCCATTTCTAGAGACATGTTTTCCTCCATCAGCTCCTCAATTCTTTTCCTGTCTAAATCCCGCTCCTAAGAAGATGGGGATATTATTAAGGCAGAGCTGTATTTAAGCCATAACAGGTGATCAATATGAATAAATGCAAAGGCAAGTAGCCATACAATAATAAATGATACAGTGTTCATACAAAGATTTGTAAAGTGCATATCATGGAACTCCAGCTGTAGATCCTAAGTGTTTATTTTGTAAATCAATCTACACATAATTATTGGCAATGGAGGTTGAAGCACTTCAAATCAGTCTCTAGGAAAAGTGACCTGGAAAAACCTTCACTTCTCCCCAACTATGTTTTCATTTGCCATTTTGCAAAGCTTTAACACATTCATTCCTTTGTGTTTTATGTCTACCTACCATCTTTGGACTTTATGATGGCTAAGAGTGATGTTGCACAGATAAGTCTGCTGCTTGACACCTGAAGAACAAAAGTTTTAGGTGCCAACCATACTTTAAGTTCTTTTCTGTTCTCTACCTGGTTTCTGGGATTTGCTCAGTTCTGCTTTATACTCTTACTCACTCTACTAGAAGTTGCTTTCAGGTAGCCGTTACTGGTATGACACAGGTAAGGTGTACAGATCAGCCAGCTATTTTGCTGTTTATTTATCCCCAAACAATAAACCTAAAATATCTGCAAGATATTCTCTATAAAAACTTCGGTAGCATGCCAAATTATTTTAGCTGTATCATGTCAGAAAGGGTGAGGACTAGGACACTACCATACACACACACAAAAAAAAACCCAAACATATTAGGTATATATTTTTATATACTTACCATCTCCATGTCATGGATTTTAGCTTTGCACTGTATGTTCTCCTTCTCTAGCTCATGCAGTTTATCAGAGCGAGCTCGTGCCCCCTCCAACTGGTCTTCCAACATTATTTTTGTTTCTAGAAGCACCTGATTGTCTTCTTTTAACTCCTACAAAAGACACATAATTATATTTCAGAAAGATTATTTATTATTACTAAGGGGAGCGTGGGGTTACATAATAACTGGTTCACTAGGAGAAAGTTGTGGTAACACAATTACATATTCTGCAGTGTAACCCTTGTGGAAGGAAACATCCAATAAAGAGAGCCAAAGGCAAAATACATTTACAGTGCTGGATATCATCACTGTTCATTTGTGCCATTATAACATAGCATTTATTCCTTCACTGACTGTTTCTCACAATTATGTTTTACTACATTCCTCCTAAAAAATTGCTGTGCACTTCCTGTGCCTACAGCCGCATAGCTGTATATCTGCAGCGTGAGAGCACTGTGCCTCTGTCTGCTAGTCTCGGTGAGATTTGGTAGTGGACAGATCTCCCCACTTCTTTCATTCTATCGATCTGTGCACAGCTTCCACAGTTCAGGTTGTTTGTACAATGTGTTGAGACATGGCCCACTTACCTCTACCCTGGCCTTGTAAAACTCAATGTCGTGCATCCGTTCTTTGTACCGACTGACTTCACTTTCAAGCTTGTCAACTCGGACAGCTTTTTCCCTGAGTGCGTCCAGCTCATCCCTGTACATGCGGGCAGATCTGGCATCAGCCACCAAATTCATGTTCTAGAGAACCAGAGTTGGAAATATGGAGATAGTCAACATTCATAGCAAGCAGGCATTTAGTTGGCTCCAAACAAACAGGCCAAACATTTCTAACAGGACAACATCTCCTTGTGTAAGATTCTTTGTAAGTTGATCTTGTTGCTAATACTTGAAAAACAAGAAGTCCAAACGTTTTAAATTATTTGCCGTCATAGGTTTGTAAATTTTTGGAAGCATCCAACTTAATCCTATTTAGGGCCTGTGTTAATGGGCTATTGTTTGCACTTTGCACCTAAATTGCTTATTTCCCCTCACAAGTCCATGGGAATGCAAAAGTAGCTTAAAGCAGGTCAAATGCAGGGCAGCAGGAGGTCAACTGCAGGTAAAATATACAGATTCTGTAGTAAATTACCAGCATTTTGTTCAAACAGTTTACTGTAACATCAAGTTGGTCACACAAGGGCTCCCATAGATTTAATGTAACATCAGGTTGGTTGCACAAGGGCTCCCATAGACGTTTGAGGACCTTTCAAGGTCCTTGCATTGTCCTGAAACATCGGCTAAGGGAACCCTTACATGATGAACATGAGGGTACAAATAAAGCATTTGAACAGAATGACAGAGTGCTGGTGACTTACTATAGGGCTCCATAAATTACTCATAGGTATATTTTAAGAAAATATTTGAATTCTGGGGTTGGATGTATCATCTTGACAACCAATCTGACAAGCTTTATTTAGTACCCAATAGAAGATATATAGATTTATGAACTGGCTATACATAGCACTTGCCCTTATAAAATGTCAGAGCAGATCCTTTATTGTGGCCTCTCACATAAGCAGTGTCATGAAGAGTATTGATAAAATGTCTGTTTGCAAAAACATCTTTTCTGCTGAGACCGACTGCTGAGGTCACCAGACTCAGGAGTACACTGGGCACTTAACTCGCACCTGCAAAAGGACATGTGCTCATAAATAAATACTGATGTTATGAATATTTGAAACCTATCCGAGCATGGTTTCTATCAATTCAACATCAAGAAAACACAAAAGAGAAAGCAGGAAGAATCATCCAATCTTCAGGAACCACAAGCACACCATATTGCCATATTCTTTGATAGAGAATTAATGCTGTATGCAAATGCCACACACCAATCCTGTACTAAGAGAATTATAGAAGACACCATTGCTGACCTTCTTAATAAAAGGATAGTTGTCTTAGTGTCTCTCCCTTTAATACTTTCTCAGTCACTGATCTAGAAAATACACAGAAATCAGGAAAGTCAGACTGAAGTCAGACCTGACCTGCAAGTCAGTGACTCAAATTATTGAAGTCATTTCATGAAACATTATAGCCAGTTCACTAAAAGAAGAAAAAAAAAAAGAAGGTCAACAAATGGCAGCCTTCATATTTCCTCCACACAAAACCTTTTGTTTATTTTTAGCTTTGCATAGATTGAAGAAGGGCCGGAATATCTGACAAAGTTTTATTGGTAATTGTCCCTGTTGTAGAGATTTCCCCTCACTTTCTGTCATGCAGACAATGTGTGTGGGGTAATCAATTAATTTTTATTTGATTGTTGAAAAAAAATGTTAAGTGTGTGACAGTAAAGCAAGCAATGAATAAACATTTGTAACTAAAAAATGGCTAAATGCTGGTACGATAGACTGATAAATACAATACATTACGATACTGTAAATGGGCAAGCATATGTTATGGTGACAATTTATACAGTCTCACAGGCTAAATAAACAGAAGAAAATAATAAGACACATAACATACACCTAAAGGCAGCGTGTGCCAGGCACATTATAAATCATTTATAGAGTTAATGTGACCTCTGACCTCCTGCTGCAGTCTCTTGAGCTCTGCTTCCAACTGGGCTACCTCCTGCTTACTATCCAGAAATTGTTCCGTTTTCTCTTCCCTAGACAGAAGAAAAAAAATAAAATCCATCTGACAATGTTTTCTTAAATGTTATTCCAAAGCAGGATAAGGTTTCAATTGATGGTATTAAAAAAAAAAAAAAAGGTTTAGTACACCATTTGATATAGTATATAGTAACATAGGCAAAAAATTACCAAAAAACAAATTGCTTTTCTGGTAGATCAACCTGTCTATGCCATCATGCAGAAGGAAAAACACAAAGTGTCTATTTATAAAAGAGAAAAAAATGCATAGATATTCTTTTAGCAAAACTGCATGCACATTTGTGCGGTGTAAATTAACCAGCATAGCCTCATTAGTTTTAGGGATTCCTCACACAATGTATAAAGCTGTGACTGTGGATGAATGGGGAAACATTGAATGTTCTCATGGTATTTTTTTTTCTCCAATTGGACGCTCTTAGGGTATTACATCTTCTGCTCAAATGTTTTTAATGTATTTTCTCTTCTGATTGGATGTTCCTAGGATACTTCCTCTTTTGATCAAATGTTCTTAGGGTATTTTCTCTTCTGATCAAATGTTCTTAGGGTATCTTTCATCCAGTCCTGCTTATTTTTACCTGAGAAATCCATACGATAAACATAGACCCCAAGGTGTTGCGATATAAATTGTATATACACTGCTTGACCAACATAGTACTGTAGCACGAGTCTGGTAAATATATTTCTAATTGAAACAAGAGCCCAATCTTTTTTTCTTTGTTTTCAATGAAGCGGAGATGGGTAGATCCCCTGTGAGGTTTCTAATGCTGTCTGCATCCCTAATAGAGAGATTTCCCCAACCTTAGTGTCCCAGTGAGGGAGGTCACCGAGGCCGCTAGTGAGGTAGAAATCTTACCAATGAGGGTACTAACAGCAATACAATGCACCATTTTAATGCAGTAGGGAAGGACTAGAACCTTTGGCAGGCTTATATTGTTATCTTTGTCTTCCCCTCACTCTGTTTCAGAGACAGTGGTCACAATGAGAAGAAGTAATGATAAGGCTTCCCAATAGGGACACAGACAACAGGTTCAAACCTTTCCCATCCAAAAACTAAAAAACCTTTAAGATAAGCTTCCAGAAATCTAAAAAAAGACAAAAATGAGATCGGATTATCTGTTTTTGGAAGTAACTAATACAAAAGGGAAGGGAATGTACAAACTGAAACTGATTCATTGTTAGGATATATATATTTTCCTGTGAACAGAACAGCCTTATCAGCATGAATGTGTGGCACCAAATACATCCTGAAAGCAGACAAACATCATTTCAGCCTGGCAGGGCAGCTTACAGACCTTGCCATTGAACTCCTTAAATCAATAATTTTGAGTTATATATTCAGAGAAGCAATTCAAATGCCCGGAACATTAAGGATGTTTTAATGAGCTATCCTACATCTATTGACCATAGAGTAAACCAGTACTGACAAAATGTATAGCTGCACCATTTCTGAACTCTCCTTTTCAAAATACTGGTTGCCTGGCTGTTATACTAGTCCAAAGGCTACTGTACTTTGAGTCACTGACCTGGAACAGATTAGGACTTTTAATTTTCCTCAGACTACTTTGGCTGCATGTTTGTTCCAGCCAAGTAAACAACAGGAGGTCAGCAGCAGAAGCATCTGGGAGAAATGTATCAATTCTGTGGCATGGATAAGTGAAAAAGATTCTGCAACATATTTACTACAGGTTAAAGACTGAGTCATAAATTCCTCCCTTAGCTGCTCTAAAGTAGCACTTATGACAGAAAAAAAACATGACCCTGACCACTTGTTAATTGTGCGCCTGTTTAGAGTGAAACTCTGTCTTATCTACAGTAATAAGGCTGTTGCAGACCTGTCTAAATCTGTCACAGTTGGTTCCCCAGGATAACGGGCACCTGGGTTGCAAATACACAAAGAAACCGTCGCATAGACTTAAAATGAGGTAGCCTGATTTGCATTTAATTGTGTCACTAGTTTGCTTGATAAATGTCTCCCTCTGTATTTTTATTTGTACAGGTTTTCGGTTAAGAAAGGTATAGACTTGTAAAGGGCTATATTTCGAAAGTCTCCAACATCTGCAGATGTCTCTTATGCTGCAGCATAGGAGGAGAGGCTGGAGGGAGCGCTGTGACAGCTGGCAGGCTCAGAGCTTCAGGTGACTATGAATACTGTGTTAATTTTGTATACATTTGAACCTAGACAAAAACGAGCACTTAACCCTTGCAGTGCAGGGATAGCCCAACTGCAATCGTTAATAAAACATTTTTTCCTGGAGTTCTTCTTTAAAGGTAGAACTAAAGCCAAATCTAAACAAAGCCCCTGCCAGACTTTTTGCCATTTTTGTCCCATTGGGGAGATGTCCCTTCACTTCCTGTCTGATAGCCGCAACAAAACGTTTGGAGGAAATCCTTGGTGGTCAGCAGGGTCACCGGAAGTAGTGCCCCCATTGGAAGATTTCCCTATCAGATGAATGGGTGATCTATCAGATGCGATCTACGATTTCACTTTCTGGGCGGTCTCCATTAAGTTCCAATTTCCTAGGGTTACTCTTAGGACTAAAGTGTTTGTTTTTTTTAATTAAAGTGTTTTTTTTTAATTTATATGTCATATTATTTCTCTCATTATACTGCAAGTCTACCAGACAATGTCTGACCGAAAGCAAATTCTCTAGAGTCTCTAATGACATGGAACACTCATAATGCTCTTGGACATGAATACCATGTGACCTTTGCCAGGGCTTTGGGTCACATTCACAGCTTTCTTCTTTTATTTGTAGCAAGAAAGTGGCACATTTTTACTCAGATTAGTGTGATCTTTTAATGCCAGCCTGCTGGTTTATGTAATGTATAAATGTAATAACAGGTCGGCTTTAAGAGGCTAGCACAATATTACAGAAAAAAATGCTGCAAGGTCAGCTGGAACACTTGTTTACAAGAAATGCGTTTTTGACTTGTACGCGACAAATGAGGCTCTTATATTCAATATTCCTCTTACAGAATAACAGTGGGGGGCTGATTACAGGAGTAACTCGTTCAGTGCTCAGAAGACGGCAGCAACACTGCAGACTAACTAGCAGTACTATGGGATCGCAGGCCTGAAAGGGTGTGCTTCTGAGGAAAACGAGAGACCTAGCATTCGTTTGCATGTCTAATTACAGCTTTTTATCGCTAGACTGTGGAGGCCTGCACCAAATTACCAAGAGCACATTGGCGTTAAATGTTTAGGCTATCTATTAAGTGTCAATCAAGATAATAACTGCAATCTTCAGGCTAATTTCCCAAGTGCAGCTGTGCGTAGAATATTCAGGGTGGGCGTCTCACAGCAGCACAAGAGAAAGAGCTCCCACTATGGTACTCTGTCCCAGCACTTCAACACCTATTCAGCTCATATCTCTGCACTGGCCTTCATCTAATCGCCACTCAAAAACACTATACAGCAGCTAATTACAGTTCAACTACAAGACTAACTATCCTGCTTAGGCATATGCAAGAATATTCAGTCTTTATTATTATTATTATTATTAGAACTGTGCAGGCTTAGGAAAGATGCATATCTGTCCCCTTATTTCGCGTGTGCCTGAGAGGGGAGAGGCCACCATGGTTCATACAGCTGCTGCTAAACTCCTGCACATAGCAAGAGAGTCTCCCAGCTTCTGGCAGTATCAACCAGTATTTGATAAAACAGTGTCAAGGCAGGGGGTGGGATCTGTGGACAGTCAGAAACACTGATGGTCTAACTGAGGTGATTATAGTAAAGGCAGACCCATCCACTTAGCATCGGTTTAAGTCCTGGCAGAGCCAGCGGTAATATTACCAGGGCAGATGCTGGTAAGGATATGCAATACAGTTTGCTGAAACCATTAGAATATATTTCTGTAGTAAGCATTATCATATGGGGAACTAGTGGGGGGATCTGATCAGATATTATCTGAAGATGCTACTTATACCATAAAGGTAACCTAATCAATGTGAGATCCATAGATGGTGTTAATTAGTGGTGTTCTCTATTAAATGTATTTAAACAAATAGAACAGTTCCACTTGGATAACATCGGTGTGTCTACTGATATCTGAAGACAACATCTTCTAAAAGCAACTTTTTTTATTTTTTTTTATTTTACTTTGATGCTTGCATAATAACCATATCCCCAACAAATGACATACAAACCCCAACCATTACAAAAACAAAAAACACTTCTCTAAAACCCCTGCATGCGTATGACTCTAAAAAACAAAAACCCTCCAGGGGGTGTATAAAAAAATATAATGGAAAAAGCCAGTCCACATATGATATAATGTATGTAATCTCTATAAATATTTGTCTATTCAACCAAGTTAGGCTGTCCGACATTGATGATCATCCAGTAGCTTTCTACTAATATGAAGAGAGACCGCATGTGCATCAGATAATCCATATAGATCGCTACCAAAGTATCTCCTGCTGCAACAATGACCAGTATCTAGCAATCCGCTTTCAATGTGTACAGTACTGGATTATAATTCATCAAATGTAGGCTATTGAGCACTAAAGCCTCACAATTGAGAACTCTAAAACAGAACAAATGACTGTAATCTTAAATCATGCTAGGCATAACTTGACAATAACCCGGGCGGAAAATTTGCATAAAACAAGCGTGGTTTACTGACAATGGCACGTACGGTCTAAAAAAATAATCTGGATGGGTTAAAGTAAATTTGTGGTGCCACCACATGGCATAAAACCACCACTGCACAGAAAACCAGGCACTTCAGGCCTCTACAGCATATAATGCTGGCAATGTAATGCTTGGGGCCTATGTGACTATGTGGTGGAGAGGGGAAAAATCATGGCCAGGACCCTTGCTGTTCAAAAACGTTGCTGTAAGGCTCCCAGAAACACACTGGTGGGCTAGAGACTAAAGCAAAGTATTTTCTGGTATGTTAGTGCTTGCTTATGCTTCTGATGCGTCACTACAAGTTTACAGGGTCATTTACACTATTCCATGTATGTTCATGCATGTTTTTTGGTGAGTTCACACAGGTTTCATTGAAACATCCCATTCATTGGTATTGGCCCTTAAAGTGGACCTGAAGTCAAAAAGGTAAAGATTTGCTATGTTTGATATGAAACATTTGTTACTACTACGCTACCTGCTATTCTCTTTTCCTGGAGGCTCTGACATAGGAAAGCAAAACCCTGCCTCCACCAAGATGGCTGCCTTCACACAGAGACACAGTACAAAACATTTGGAAAGAAGGGGCTGGACCCATGTGGTTATCCCTATTGGTGGTTCCCATTCAACAGTAGTCAAGTGATGTGAACTGGCTAATGGGTAGACAGTTTCTGCAATCCAAAGAATCTCCAGTCTCGTTGGCTTGACAGTGAGCACAGTAGATGTAAGAACTGAAGCTCCACAACAATTAAAATAGTCCAGATACAAATGTATTCCATTAGGGTCAGTAGGACATTCAAGTAGAGTAGCCAATGCATATCGCGAGTCCAAAATGCACCCCCTTCATCAAGTCTTAATTAGAAAAATCATGCATGTGGACTACAATCCCCGCAGCTTGAAAGTTGCATTGTGCTTTGATTATTTCAGGCAGCAGCTGGTGTGATGCTCTTAATTCCTACATCTACAGTGCAGAACAAGGCATGATAAGTCAGTATTGGTAAAAGATCAACTGCAATGAGACCCAAGGCAATACTGGTGACTAGTTATTTACTCTTGGCCTGCTTTTTTGGGCACAGCCTCCAGAGCGCAGTTCCTACTTTAACAAGTTTCAATACACCAAAAAACATAGCAACCAATCTTTTGCCAATGCTGCACATCACAGAGCATGTATATTTACATCTACAGCATGTGTTGCAGTGTCTTGAAGGTCAGGTGTATTGTCTAAAACATTGACATGTATTGGGGGGGTCTATTATAAATTAAAGAGACAACACCCTCCTAAAATTCATGTGCAACATGTTTTCCACGTGCGCACACTAAAGTGTTAATCCAGCTCTAATGTCACTCTTCCCAAACCAAAATTACACAGATCCAGTCCACATCCAAAAGATCCATTCTAAATCACAGTAAAATCTGCTTGAACTCCAAGTAGCCTCGGTAAGATGAGAAATATTCACAAGTGAGCAAATACTGGTGCCCAATAGGGTTTTGACAACAAAGGCATCAGTAGTAAGTTTTGTAAGGACTGTCAGCCTGTAGTTTCCATTACAAATGCTCATTTTTTTTTCCTTTAGTCTCTGCATTTGTCTTTGCTGTGTGCAGTCAGCAGCTCTTTGTGACTGTTCAGCATAGCTAAGGAGAACCTCAAGGGAAAATAATAAAAAACACAAGCAAGTTGGGAATTCAAGTAACATTCAAAAGAGGAACAAATCTGACAGATGCCAAAAGAGAGATGTCTGCCTGTGGCAAGCATACCAGGGGAAAAGCTTGGGGAAAACAAAAAGAAAATATTTTACGTAAAAAGGACAAAAGTGAACAAAATAATATACCATTGGGTAAATATTTTGGTGACAATTAGTTTTACGTTAACATGAAAGTAATTTTGATGCAACTCCAATATTCTCATGTTGGCTGTTCAGAGTAGTAGATCCTTCCTGTAGTATCTACATTTAAAGAAGAATGGCAAGAATTTTTTTTATCAACCCTTGCAGGGGGGCTACCCCCGTACTGCAAGGGTTAACTGCTTGTTTGTGTCTAGGTTAAAAAAAAAAAACCTGAAGTTATAATCAACCAATGCTCCGTGTCGGGTTCTTCTTAGACCGGTCCTTCCAACCTCTCTCCCCCTCCTCTGCAGCAGTCTAAGGTCCTGCAAATCATTACGTCTATACACAGTGTACAAAAGTGAGGATGCTGAGGAAGATTACAATGTGATGCAGGGAGAGAGAGATACAGGTTGGAGGGAATGCTGTGACAGCTGACCAGCTTGGAGCTTAGGGTGAGTGTATCTTTGTTATTTTAGCACCTAGATGCAAACAAGCACGTAACCCTTGCAGTGTGGGGGGTAGCCCCACTGCAAGGGTTAATAAAAAAAATCCTGGAGTTCTTCTTTAAGTCAGAGAATAGAACTCTACAGGATTTAACCACACTTGAGCTGTCTATACAGCAGTAGAATTTCGCTCGATAAAATAGTTTTCAGAACGTTCGTTCAGTTTTCTAATAGATAATGGGGTTGAAATCGATGACAGATTTTTGGTAGTGATGAAACAATTGGAAAGATCAGGATGTAACATGAAATTCTAACAGTGAATGTGGTCTTTGTTCAGGAAACCTTATTCATTCCAAAATCAAATGTTAAAATCAAACAAAATCTTGAACAACAGTCTACCAGTCTCTAATACCCAGCTGCAAGCACCATTTTCATATTCTGACAGTGGGCAGCAGTCACAGCAAAATTGTGAACAGCGTGGATGGAGGAATCTGTTATATTTTATTTTGTCCAAAAGGTTGAATGAAAAAAATATAACAGTGTATACCCTACTTAATACTTCCACATACGATCCAAAAGTCTTTTCTAAGTGATCTAAGATTTTATAACATAATTTACCTTGAAAAATTAAATAAAATTATTAAAAAAATTAAATATGTAGAAAAATAAATGATAAATCAAAACTACAACATAGATATATATTTTTGTATACACACACACACACTTTTAAAAAGACCTTAGATACCCTTATATATGCCTTTGAAATGACTCCAATTTTCACATTCCTACTATTTAGGAATATACAGTAAGGAAAGTGAAAAGTGGAATTTGGGGAGGGTGTTAAACTCTGCGCCTAGTGACACCTCTGATAATAACTGTGACTTAACGGTGTAAAAGATAAACGGCAAAGAAAGGAACAATAGCTGAACCACTAATGTCAGTTCTGGTTTCTGACCTCCTGAAAAAAAATCCTTTTAAAATTGTATCTAAAAGGAAAAAGTCTGCCTCATAGTAGTGCTGTACATAAAATCTAGATGGGAAACACCTGTGATTCAGTGTATTCCAGCATCTGTAGATGAATAAGCACTTACAGCTCCTGCCTCAGCCTTCTTATTTTAGCCTTGGCGTCTGCCAGCTCCACTGACAGGTGCTGTCTGCTCTCCGTCCTCCTCATGCTGGGCGATCCAGAGGGAGACTGAGCCAATGCTGGCAGAGGTGTGAAATGAAGGGAGTCCCTCTCTTCTGTCAGCTCGATAATTGTCTGGAGGCAAGTGAGAAAAATTAACAGTCTAACACATTCATCACTGTACAATAATATAGCACTTTAAAATAAAAATAGAGATGAGTTCCACATATCTGCAATGAAATAGTCACCAATAATCTCTACTTCACATTGGGGACAAGGCACAAATGACAGTGAGGTGCTGCTGTGATCCAAATCAGCCCATTTAGAAATCTACTTTTAAAGTAGAACTCTGAAAAGTTAAGGATCAACTCCAGAATAAGCAAATATTGTCTTAATATAGTAATCTTACTGGAATTTTATTGTACTTTGTGTATTTCTTCCAGATCTGTGCTGTAATCCAGGGTCAAAACTTTGTGCAGGTGTTTCCTGTAATGAAGACCAGTCACTGCTGCTCTCTCTCGTTGTGCAGGGTGACTGGTCTTGTGTCTGCCCTCCTCTGCAGGCAGCCTGTAGTGGGTGGACCTGCTGGGTCCCTCCCACAGCTCTAGTTTCTGCACAGGCTATGTGCAGCACAGTGATGATGTCACTGCTGAACTTACAAGGTAATATCTGGTTTTGCAAAGGCATTTGGTGTTCACAAAGTGGATTTTACCCTTTGTGGCTATTAAGGAAACTTTTTAAACAAACTATAGATAGTTCTATGTAGTCAGGAAAAGAATGAAATCCCCGTTAGCAATGGCAGCATCCATTGTTCTCTCAGCACAGGTTTATAGGACACATCTCAAAGTAAACCCTGACTATAATTAAAGTGTTAAAAAAAAGAAGGCATGCTGTACAGCAGACACCTTAAAGCTTCTACAGTATCTGCACCCCTTAACCTCCCCTTCTAGCGCCACATAAATCTAGGTAAATACCAAATTTCTAAAAGTCAGTATTTGGATAGACCTACAGTAGTTACCCCACATTATGGCTGGTCACGTACAGTGTACACATCTGCCCCATTCCCATTCTTTATTCTTTTTTTATGCTTTTCAGTGGCTGTGGTCAGCACTTGTCCAAAAGAAGCAGTGACATTATGGCTCCTGCTGCTACAAGTCTGAGCATTTTGGGAACGTGTGTCTCAAACGCACACGCAAAACGCAATAACAGTGCACTTTATTGCAGGTTGCTTGCTTGCTGTGACATTACCAGCTAATGGCTGGGAAGATGCATGTTTTTCCCTGCCTTTGCAAGGTGGAACAAAACGCAGCACGCATGTCGCAGATTTTGCTACATGTACTGCTTTCCCTGTTTGTCTCGCATATGGGGACCCATTCGAATCAATAGGGATGCAGGACAAATGCGGAAAACAAAAGTACACGAAAGCGCACCACTGTTTACCACTTAGTCAGCTATAATATCAAAATGCAGTATTACAAGATGCTCCATCTGCATGGTTAAGTGCTGCAAGGGTTAAGTGCTTGTTTCGCTCTAGGGGCTAAAACAAAGCAGGTATATTCACCCGATCCTCGGTCCTGCAATGTTGACTGCTCACCTCTCTCGCCCTCTGCTTTGGTTGTGGTATGTCCCTTGGCAGCCTCACGTCTAATACAAGTGAATAGACCTTGCATAGGAGGTGATAATATAGGCAGGGCTTAGTTCTCTGGAACCTGGGGCAGCCTGGCGGGACTGAGGATATCTTTTTTATTTTACACCCTATACCTAAATGAGTACCTAACCCTTGCAGTGCGGGGGAAGCCCAAGTTTAGGATACACATGTAGATTAGATATGAAATGACAAAACCATGAAGACTGGCTTGTTATCAATGGTTTCCCTGAAAGAGTTCAGAGAGTATCTGTGCAGGTTCTCTAATAATCAATAGCTGTATAGCTGAGATTTATTATAGAGGTTTAAAGAGATTTCCTGCATGATCACATACTGTGTTTATATAGAACCTCCTACTAAAGTGAACCTGTCATATCAAATGTAAAAGCCCACAATTAATTCTGCAGTATTAATTCTGCAGTATCGAAACTTCAGTCTATAGTTAGTTACTGTCACACATATATTTCACGAGATGCAACGATAGCATTTTACTGTATTTTAAACTGACCTTCAGACACATATAAATAAATGCTATTTAAACCAGTTATGTTTTTATTAGAAAATTGTTAAATATTTTTAGCATTAGATTTAGCATAGACACCTGAATCTGTCTTGATACCAGCCTCCTGTGATGTTCTGCAAAGCAGAACTCAAGCCAATTAAGCCTCTGTTGCTTTACATCACATATGTGAGCATGCTTAATGAAGGCTAGAGAAGAGGGATGAGTTCACCAGAGTGCTGCTGCTCCTTTTAGGTCCAACCCCAGTATAGGGCGGGTTCCGGACTAAGCTATAGGCAGTACATTAGGCAGAGAGGTTGAGGAGCTGGTTGTGGTGCCTGGTAGGGATGTTTGGACCACAACACTAGCTAAACAGAATTACATATAATTACATATAATTGCAATCCTCTGTAATACTTTTGACTGCATTGTAACATTTCTACATATACTTAAAATGTTTGGCTGCATCAATCTAGTACATTTTCAATATTTTTTTTTAATGGGAGGAGTATTGGGAGGTTAAAATATTCGTCCTTAGAGTTGGTTTTGGCACCATGCAGCTGTCTCGCACTGGGCTCTATATGAGAGCTGAGCGATCATGTAACCGCTGATCACTTAGCTTTCAGACTCCTTCCTGCAGAGAGTGGTGACTGTCGGTCACTTCCTCCTGCAGGCATTCTCCCCTTTCCATTGCTCCAGCACTCATTAGAGGGACAGACAGGGGAGGGGGTAGGCACAGCTGGCTCCATAGAGGCAGAGCCAACTGGCAACCAGGCAGCTGGGTGGATCCTGACAATATTGTAGGGATCCTTCCCGGCTGCAATGCAGCTCTGCACTGGCAGCATATAGTGGGCAGCAGTCCGCTATATGCTGGTTTTGGGTCGCAGGCGTACATTAGTAAACTTACTCCTGTGACCCAAAAGAGAGGTAAAGCCAAAAGAAGGTTTGTCTTTGCTTCCCTTTTAAACACAACAAGCATTTCAATTTCTGCATCAAACATTTTGGTGCATATGGAAGGCAGTATTGAATATTGAAGTAGATCTGATAACCTAAACCTATGTTTATGTCACTTTGCATTTTTTTCAACCACAGTACTAAATGTGAATCTCAGTGCATCAAAAACGAAACTATTTTTCTGCATTAGACTTGCTTTCCATTGTACAGCTCTGTACACTGGGCCCTAAAACAGCTAATCTACTAAAAGATGCCCCTTACCCAATCCCACATATTTTTACAGAGGTAACTTTAAACTCTTCTTTAAGAACAACTATAGTAGCTCGCATTTTTCTATCCTGTTATCTTCACTTTAAGTGGGAGATAAACCCTTAGCAATGTTAGCCAACTATGGTGTTCTAAAATGGTTTAAGAGCTATGAGAATGGCAAAACTAATTGTTTCAATCAAGGCTCAATGAATAGCCAATGAGTAGCCATCTTGTTACATACCTCTGATTGTTCATCTCTTTCATCCACCAGTCTCTTTAAGTGGAAAGCTACGTTTTTCAGTAATGATTCCAGATCATCTGGGGAGATGTCAGTAGAGTCCATGGACTGCAGGTCCAACACATTCTCTGGATTATGAGTTACCTTCAGAAAAACAAGAGATTACAAAAAGTTTACGATATGGCTGAACATATCGTTTCTCAGTATAGCCTTATAAACATTTAAGATCCCGAGTTTACTGCAAGCTAGAGACCTCTGAGAAAACTAAGTTTGAAGTGTTTACCAGATTTATTCCCAGATTGAATCTATATTGCAAGCTGACAACAGGAAGTGTACATATCATCCAACTTTTCCCCATAAATTGTTAAAAAACACATTTATTAGCGTGTACTTCCACAAGCAGGAAAAAGAACATAGCAGACCTCTATAATCAGCCTGAATGTTATGCAAGCACAAAACCCGTTATTCTTATTGCAAGTAGCATGCTTGGTTACCTATAAATATCTGGGAATTTACTCAATAAGATTACCTCAAGATGCTTTAAAACACAGGCCAACTTTTTACAGTAATATCACTGAAGCATAAAAAAGAAAGAAGGCTGAATACAGGAAGAACTTCAGCCAAACCTTTTTTCCTAAGGTTCCAATCCTGTCCCTGGGTGAGTATCCAAGCCAAATGCAGCTACTTACATTAGTTGCATTTATAGCTTCATTACAATTGTGACATTTTATATATGTTCTTTAAAGCTAAACTCTAGGCAGATATGAAAGTAAAAAAGTGGTGCAGATCTATATATTTTACTTGATAACTTCTTGTGATCCCCTGTGCAGTAGAAAAAGATGGTAACCACATAAAATGTATAACAAGCCTTTTTAGGAGGGTGCAGATGGGAGGGCTTACAATACAAAACACAAGCCAGCTAGCCTGCAACAAAACAAATGACCCTGTCTAACAGTATGCGTTAAAATCAGAGGTTTTAGTTGCACAGACCTTTGGCCAAAAATATGTAGAAGCCACACTGCCCCATCAAGGCACCTCTGTAAAGTGTGGTCCTAACTCTATTTACAGTATATGAATCTCCAAGTGGGAGCATATTAATGCAGTCGATAAATGAAATGCAGGTGTACCAGAAGGGAACCTACTCCTCCTCAAAAGGTGCAGGGACGCACTGGAGGCCCAGCAATCAAAAATGCACGCTGGGAGCCCCAGTGCGCCCCCTCATCAAAAATAGTCAAACTAGAAAAAGATGATAACCGCATAAATTTATAACCAGCTTTTGAGGAAGAGTAGGCTACCTCCTTGTACACCTGCATTTAATTTATCGACTTATCCCACTTGGAGATTCATATAAATAGAGTTAGGACCACACTCTACAGAGGTGCCTTGACGGGGCATGTGGCTCAGACTGGGTGTGGAAGGGGAAATACTTGGAGCCAATGAAATGTCCTGCATGCTATTTTCCTGACAATGAGCAACAGAAGAGAGTGCACAGTGATGACCCCATCTCTCTGCTGCTGTTCCTTTACTGGCCATTCAGCAGGATAGATGTGGAAAGATGATTTCTCTTTATTCCTTAACTGTAAAAGAGGAATTGGTGGCGTTATACTTGTTGTTGTGCTGCATGATGGAGCAGTGTAAATCTCGGGTATAAATGGACTGAAATGCAAATAATTTGGCAGGTAAATCAACTCCTATGAATTGAATCTGTGTATTTAGGCGTTTACCTGGAGTTTAGCTAAAATAACACTAGCTTGACACTGTTGATAACTGCATTTCAATAAGTGTCCACTGAGGAAGTGCCTATTGCATAAAGAAGTGTAGTGTGCTGCCAGACATGCACAACATGAAAAAAAGCCACCTTGGATGACTATGGGTGTGTCATGGGGTGAAGCCTCTAGTAGCCAACAGTGGAAAGGATTAATAGGGGTCATTGCTTTATATTTTTTAATCCAACAATGCTCCATTGTACTCGATTAGTTCTCCAATATATTTCCATTTTCACTCACACTGTAATCCCATTGTTGGCATACCTAATAACAAACATAAGCAAGCCACAAGTCATAACCTCAGGATGTTCTGAAAATTATTCACAACAGCTGGCCTTTAACTACTGAAAACTTTGTGCTTGCAGATCCGTGATAAACAGGCCATTTATATCGAGACTATTTCGGCAGTAAAGCAGGATGCTTATCTGTATTTTATTCATCACTCATGTGATCTTCATCCTCTCAGACTAAAAGTTTTGTAACATGCTTCAAAATAAATGTCTTGCACAACAATGCAAGAAAGAGGCAAATCGAAATAATACCTCTTGGATGTGAGCTGCAACAGCTGCTTTTGTGTCAAAATTCAAGTCTTGTATTTTATCAATAAATTCTTCTTTTCTTGCACACTGAAAAAATAAACAATAATAATGTTAAAGTGCCCAAAATGCAGTGTGCATAGTTTTCATATGCATTTGTAGTGGTGTACATTTCTGGTACATAAACCTAGAGAAAAAGAAGAATATGATGTTGCCTATAGGGGGTGTCCCTATTACAAGATTCACCCTTCTCCTCCTATTCTGGTGATAACCATCATGGTCTATCCTAATGACAACAGTGACCAACAAATTTAGAGGGACAACTTTCCATGTGGGACACTAATAGCAAAAAAAAACCTGACAGGAGTTCTTACACAACCTCTATCTGTCACAAACAAAACATGTACCTGGAAGATTCACCTGCAGTAAATATTTGGTCAGATTCACTGCTTTATAAATAAGTCCATTTAAGTTTACTGAAATTGTGTAATAGAATTGATATAATGTATAAATTACACTATTTAGCATGTTGATTGTGGTTTACCTGAACTGCACAGCCCAGCATAAGAAGCAACATCTTCTTCATTTCTTCTGTACCTTGTTCTGGTAGAAATAAAAATGTAAAATGAAAATATTGGCAGATATCCAAACCATTATTGTATCATCACAACTGTATTTTAGCTGTGCTGTGCACTTTACCTCACTTTCCTCTCTGCCAGGCTAAGCACAGGGGAGATTGGCTGCAGGATGTTTAATTACCTTCATATTGTTGGATTAAGTTAAATAAGCTTGGCAGCAACTCTGTCATCTGCTTTCATAATCAGAACCCCAATCTGGCCTTTCTTCAAAGTATCATGTCAGATGGGCTCAGTGTGTTCTGTTCACAACACTGGTCATGGTATTGTGCAGGACATTTCTCAGAGCCTGCTCCAATCATATATTTGTTGGACTATTTTCTTATTTTCAGTAGTAAAAGGGGATGGTCTAAAGGCCTATCCAACAACCAGCACAAGCATAAGTACTTTCACATACCTAAAATAAACTTTGATTGATTTTTCATATTTTAAAGTATATCTAAAGCCAAAACTTTTTTTCCCATTTTGAATAGAGAAGGGAAAGCTTGAAGCCACGGTAAGGTTTTTTTTTTTTTTTTGCCATCTGTGACCTATTTCCCTATACTTCCTGTACTGTTGACAGAACAGAAAGGGAGAGGGAAAATCGCTCCAAAGTGAGGGAAATGCCCTCTTAGACAGCTGTCACTCCCAAATTTTACATTCTTCCTAACTTTAAGTCCAAATAATAGAAGGAGTATCCCTCTCATGGGGACGCGTCAAAAAACCTGATAAGGGTATTAACTCCTCAGCACCTTATCCACCATTATCTATCTTATTATCTATTTTATCAACCACTGAAAATATCTAAAACATTTTTTGCCAATTTAACTGAAAAGGGACAAAGAAAAATAGGTACTTTGCATTGTGCTTGTTAAGCATTTAGATTGTACAGTAAAAACAATTTACATTTATCAGCCTTTAGCACAGAATCTCGATGTAAGAACCCTTCCTTATAGCCTTATGCATTGTCAGACTATGAGGAGCTGATGCTTTACAGACTCAAATCAAACTTTTATTTTGGTAAATATAAGCAATATAAGCATCTGAATCCCACCCACGATCCCATGCAGATGTACGCTGAGTGAACCAATTCACACTACATGATGGATATTGTAGTTCAATCCTGCAGTGCCGAAAAGTCATAGGAAGAGACGTCAGCACTTCCATGATCCCTCCTTACAGCGCCCGGGCATTGCAGCTTATACCTGGTTATTGCGATGACATCAAAGATTAAAAAAGTGACATTTGAAAAAGCTATATAAATTGTGGATAACATAAAATCCTTTTTTTTTTCCTGCGGCAAAGGACAGAAAAGAAAGCTTGGGATATTATGACTATCCTAGAGTTAAGCTTTAGAGCCAAGGGTATTATTATGAAGCTGGCCCTTGATTTGCTGCTATAATAGACTCTGCTTATCTATGAAGGTTTTCCACTAGATGTTGGGAATTTGTTGGCGGCATTTGTTCCATAAAGCCACAAAAGCATTAGTGACATGGGGCAGTAATGCGGAGTGATCGGGCCTGGCTTTTATTTAGCGCTTCAAGTCATTCCACAGTTGTTCAGCTGGGTTGAGGTCAGGCCCCTGTCCAATTCTTCCAATTCCATCTGAGCAAACTAAATCTGTGCAGTCGTAGATTTTGTAACAAAGTGAGCAGGATGGAATTGTCGAGATTTCTATTCAATTTAATTTATGAACCCATGTTTGAACGCTTACCATATTAATGTTCCTTCACCTTCACATGCAGGAAACATTATCTTGGTACATGCCAAAGCCAGATGACAAAAGGTGAAACAGGTTTTATCATTCCATAAATGTGTTTCACTGCTCCAAGGCAATGTTTACATAACTTCATCCTTTGCTTGACATTTCACATTGTAAAGTTACATGGAGGAACCTGCCACAGGCGACAGACCTGGTTACATCAAATGAATAGGAATCACCAGCACAGTAAAAGATTACAAATGATAAAGTCCATTTAATCGGACAGATTGTCATACATGTTGCAATAATTCTAACCGATGTTTCAGGGCCGCATAGGGACCCTTCATCAGGGCAACAATGTAACGGTATTGCAACATGTATGACAATCTGTTCGATTAAATGGACTTTATCATTTGAAATCTTTTACTGAGTGCTGGTGATTCCTATTCATTTGCTATTTGATGTGCACAGCGCCATCCGTGAGTATCACTACAAGCACCATTATTGTGATTTTGGCCGGAGACGCTGCAAGGAGTGCAGATGGACATATTGGACTTTAAGACCTGGTTACATGACATGGTCCTTAAACTTCTGTTCAATTGCTCACACATGGTAGCACATCTTGCTTAGCGCCTGATTATTACATCCTGCACTACTGTTGCTGCCTTGAAACTTGCCAGCAAGTGTTTCAAAACACAGCTGAAAACATGTGACATTTATGCATCTCCTAATAGCTGCACTTCACAATCACTGAAATTATAGTGTCCAAAGTGCACTAGCAGGGCAGAAAGATGACAAACTCTCTTGCTGGAAAGGTGGCATCTCATGATGATGCCAAATTAAAGTTAGTAAGGTCTTCAGTATGGCACATTCTACTGGCAAATATCCTTGCAAGGCTGTGGGCTTAAAAGTAAGCCATCATTAGGAAAATCCAGGACCCGCCATCACTGTCCTCTCTCAGAGAATACTAGCTACCTGGCTGTTACACTGCCCCATTAGCCTTAAACATGCAGTTCAGACAGAAAAAAAGTCAGACATTTCTACCACAATACACATCCCAGAACAGAGAATGAAGGTATTGAAGCAAGCAGATCAGCCTTACAGCCAAGCAACTAGCATTTTGAGAAACATTGCTCAGCAATGACATCCACCATGTTTCCTACATGAAAGACTACTTTTACGTGTACTCCTGTGTCAGCAATGGATGTGGATTAAGTAGTCAGTTCCACTCATTGGAAGGGGTGTCTGGATACTTTCAGTTTATATTCTCTATAAATAAATAAAGCAAATCTGTACTCTACCCAAACCTGACAAGCACCATAATGTACCAGATAATACCTTTTTGTAAACTGTCCCCCTTAGACTGTACCAGTGGACCATGCAGAAGTTTCATTTTTGGAATTAAGACATCCAACAAATGTGTGGTTTCCCACTTTCCTTACTTGTATGTGTCTATTGTCTAACTGTCTATTAGAAAAAGCATGTTCATTCCATTGTGAACACACAAGAGGATAAAAAAAAGGGAGGGGTGTGTACATACATACATACATACACACACACACACACACACACAATATATCATGAATTTTAAACCATATTATGTACTGAAAATGTACATTAGTTTGTAAATTATTCATCCTCCTAATGTCCCATGTGAGCAGAATCCACATACGTTTGCCAGGATATACAAATGTCTCAGCTTCTGCCAGATCAGACAACTCACAAAAGCTTTGAAAAGACTATAAATCTCCTTTAAGCTTGAAACCTAAAAAGGAGAACTATGAGATGAGTGATTTCCACTCACCTCATAGTTCTAGCCGACCTGTGACAATGAGACTGTCACACTTTTATTTATTTTTTTAGTGACATTTTTTTTTAGTGACCCCATAGTTCTCCTTTAACAAAAGGTTTATCAACTTGTCTCAATCACGTTGACTCTTTTTTTAGATACATTTTTCATAACTAGTTTGGCAAACTGCCACTTGATATACTGGAAAGTGGCAGATAAGCTAACATACTGGTCCCCTGGACCATGACTAGGCCCAGACAGACAGACATCTCACCAAGAATAATAGGCATCAGACCACTGGCAGGGAAAACCCAGCTAATGGTTGAACATTATGCACAAGCTTTTTTTTTTAAAGATTAAATAGAATAATTGGCACTTGCTTGTGCAGGAAGAACACAATTAACCAGAGCTACAGACATGTATAAGCTCTTATTTCCACCAAGAAAACCCTAAGGCCCCTTTCACAGGAGCATTCCGATTTGGTCCGCCTGTTAGTTTTTGAGGTGGATCTGATCAGAAGCCCGATGTTATTCTATGGGCAGCCTGATCTAAACAGATGTGCTTTCATTTACATCCAATTACCCCCAACTCCGGCCAGGTCCGGAAAAACAAAATGGATCAGGATTCCGTTCTGGCGAACCTGATTGAGGCGGATCGGGCTTAATTTGATGTAAATGGACAAATGTCCATTTAAATCCAACTCCCTATAAACCAAGATGGGTCTGGTAACTTCAGATTTTTCCTTCATCCATTCTGATCAGCAGGGGATGTGTAGGGGCCCATGTGAAAGGGGCCTTACAAAATCCAGCCAGCACAACTGATACTTGAATTAGTTCAAAAGATTGGATCGTGTACAGGCACACTTTGATAACCTGGATAGCCCTTTGAAGATAGAGCTGAGTGAACAATATACATGTTCAGACACAAACCTATTGTGGTTGTTCACTTCACTAGAATTATTACTCAATACTCACCAGAAAATGGATTTTTGCCAATAGTTAAAACATTCGGCAAAGACATCATAACCAACTGCTGTAAAGATTCCTGTAAAGAAAAAAAAAAGAAGAAGAAATATCACTGACAATGTTTAACAAATACGTCAATGCTTAGGAAGTTAAATCACAATGTTTAGCAAATATCTCACTATGAAATATAAATAACCCAATAAAAGTATATACTTCCAAAACATGTAATGTCCTTATGGCAAAGCTGCATTTAGAAATGCTCCAGTAAGAAATAAGTGTCATGCCAGCCTCAGCATGCCCTTAAAACATGGGTTTGCCACTTTGAACTTTATTGCAAATCTCCAGTGGCAGCCAGAATAAGGAAACAATATGAGTAAACACAATCATATGTTGCATTTTGAGGCTTACTCCTCCCCTCTCTATCTCTATTTGCAAATCCATCATACTAACAAAAGTGTAAACTAAAGACAAAAGATGTAAACAGTTAATGCAGAACTGTAAAATAAATAAATATGAATAGCTCAGATAAAGAAAAAACAAACCAAAAAAAAAGCTTAATTTTGCAATACTCACGTTAACGGGTCATTCACAACACGCATGCACATTATGCTCTGTATAACATCTGCATTGTGTAGGGGCGGTGTAATACATTGTTACAATCACACTGTTTACAGTCTCTCTTTTTTAAACTTCATTACAATAACAACAAAAAATGAATGCAACGTTATGCACCGCAGCGTGTTGCAACAATTTTTCCCTATGTGTCCTTGCATTTAGCCTGCATTGATCAATTATCAATGCAGCTCAACGCACATGATATTAATGAGCCCTTAACAGCTGTCCCCCATAGCAAAGGTGGTCATACATTGTACAATTTTCATTCAAAATGTTTAGTTTCTGGCACGAACCCTCATTCGTTTATACCTAGACTTCTCCATCAAGCATAGTCAAATGTTGATTTAGGAAATTGTTTGTTATCCATACTAACCAGCCAATTTTTGAGGTACGACGGAAATAATTTTCTTTTGTCTTTTGCGCATGTGCTGTGTTCTTGCTGAGATTTTTGATGAACGAAAACCCGACTGATTCGTTCAGTCAGAGAAAAGTTTTCCAACTCTATCACAAAATGAAAAACGGAAATCGGTGGTGTACCATCAACTGTTCGATTTTCGTTTGCAATAATTTGATTAAAGAAAAGTGCGGGGATTGTGTGCATGCGTTTGTTGGGGCAGTAATTAGAAGCCAGACTTTAATACATACCTGTAATTATAAAAGGTCAAATACAACTATTTCACGAATTAACATAGTCCACAAGTTGTCACGTGATTATTGGTGTCATTAAAGGCCTTTCTAACAAATCTTATTAAAGCACAACACCAACTAACAAGTATTCATTACTACCATCTGGCAGATCTGTGGACAATAATGCAGTACCCGATTCCTGATGCCTGAATTCATGAACTATGTGATCCTCTCCATATTACACTAATCTGCATGCACATGTTACAAATGTGTGATTTCCAGAGAAAGATGTGATTTGTGGTCTTCAATTCACTTATCTTTCATTAGCTATCCTGTCCAAGGAGGCTGCCGATATATCCATTGTGCCCATTTGGAAATGGTTAAAGGGCAACTCCAGACAAAAACAAATTTCCCCATTTTGGATGGAATAATACAGGGCTCAACCTACATTAAAATATTCCTCACCATTCATTAAATACCCTCAAGTGTACACTACATTAGAATACATGGCAAAAACTGAGACCAGTGGCAACAAGCACCATTGGCGTCTCTGACTGGCTCCCTACATCGCGAGGCTGTGCTGGAGTGATGGGAGATCCCCAATCCATATTGCGCCGATTCTCATCTTTCAGTCCTTTTTTGCAAGTCAAGCACACAGCAATATTTTTTCTATTGAGGACAGAGGAGGGCTTTGCCTGGACCTCGCTCTAAGTACGCTTGCCAGTAGTCATTCTTTTTCTTGCTTTACTAGTGAGCCACTGTACTGGAACGAACATGCATGTCAAGAGCCTTGAATTCATTGACTGCATTTTTGCCAATTGGTGATGACTCAGTGAAGTACAGATAATGATGGCCCTGGAGATTACTGGTTTAAAAACTCAGATGGCATCGGCATTTCTATCCTTACAAGTTTCCTTTAATTTTGCCATAGGAACTGTAGAAACATGAATGTTGTGTACATGAAAGCATTTTGCTATTGACAGAAGTTATTGCAATCATTTGGCTATTGACAGAAGTTACTGGTAGCCAAGTGGCTGAGTGGTCAGGCTGGTGGCTAAGTACTTAGCACTCTCACCCATGGTTCTGTGTACTGTATGCAGCCCTGTGAAATATAATCACATCTTTGTCCCAATCTTCTTTCAGGTTTTGAGTCTTTGGCCCTGTGATTGGCTGGGCTCCAATAATGTAACTGCTGGGCATGCATACAGGAGTTACTTCATCTCAGCATGCTGGATCGGTGTACACAAAAAGAAAAACTTGCTGAATGGTAGCAAGAAGCCTTTAGGCAGAAGAGACTTACACAGTCTCTTCTGTAGATTGACGTTTTTGATTTTTACAAGTTTACTTCCACTTTAATAACACAAAGGGCAACATCCAAGCAAATAAATAAAATTACAAAACAAAAGCAGTTAAATAAAACTTCCTTTCACATTCTGTACCCAGCCCATAGTGTGCGTGTATTTTATAGTGACTTCCATGGAATGTCAGATTTTTCTATAGCAGAATTAATGGCACACCACAAAAAAGCCATATCTTAGCAAACCAGATGTCTCCAGAACACAGATGGATTTATTCAAGTTAAGGGAACAATAGTAGTATTCTTGTAGAATCCAGCATGGAAGGACAGGTTAGGAGGTTTGTACCATTAATAGACCATTGCATGTTCACTTAGGAAGAGGCAGATGACAGTGTTGTGATTGATGTTGCCGTCTGAGCCTCCTCTTCCTCTTTAGAATCATATGATATCACAACGCTTGGCTTTGGGATAAGTGGAGGAAGAGACACATAATTGGCAGAAGAATTGTAATATTAGCCTTTAACCGCAGAACAGCAGCCTGTTCATAGCTTATGGGAGAGTGAACTGGCTAACGCACAAAAATGACTCTACTGGTACTAATCCTATTCAACACCCAACCTCAAACCCTCCCAACAGATCATGTTTGTAGCTGTATCATCAGTGAGAACAGCTGATGCAAGGACACTGATTAAATTAAAGCACAGCACCTGTGTGAGTAGGCTCTGACAGAAGCCACCATTCGTTAAGGTGGCCATACACTCTACAACCATCGCAAGACCTTAGTCTTGCGATGGTTGTACAGGGATTAAAAAAACGTACGATCTGCCTATCTTGGACAGGCAGATCGCACTCTCGATCATCGCAAGCCCGCCCCCCTGAGGGGCGGGCTTCCGATGACCGCAATGCTGAACGGCAGTGTGCGCGTGCGCACACCGGCCCGTTCGGCATTTGTCTTCCGAGCACCGTTCTAACCAGCCGAGAATCGTACGATTCCTGGCTGGTTTTCGAACATGCTGGTTCGACGGAAGACGTGCGACCGTACAGTAGAAACGGTCGCACGTCTCCGTTCACACTGCTCGATTCTCGTACGATCGCGGGATTTCCCGCGATTCTCGTACGAGAATCGAGCAGTGTATGGGCACCTTAAGTTGCATACCAGAACTAGTATGTGGCACATGAGTCATGGGATAGCTGCTTCTATCATGGCCTTTTTTCACATGGGTGTTTTGATCCACAAGCTATCCCCATTAAACCTGTAATTAGCAGGAGGTGTAAATTCACATCCTAGTTTGTGGTGTATTTTCCAAAACAAGGGCATAGATCTCATGCTGCCACAGCAACCTGTTAAATATTGAAGTGTGGTGTATTTAGTACGTTGCCCTGCTTCTCCCGCCTGATTGTTGTTAGTTCAGGCTGTGGTTCCCACTCCGAGCCTTACCATATTGTTAGCTAAATGATGTTCTATCCCATGCAGAGTTAGAAAACTCTGGAGAAAGGTATTTTCACCCCACAAGATAGGACAGAAATCATCAGTTATAATGTGCCAGGTTGGCATGAACTACATTGGATTCTACTCTTGACACTGCCTGTGGATCTTGATTCAGCAAGTTTCCGTACTGTCTGTACGGGCACAGCAGATGATCTCGCACCCCCCCATTATAAAAGACACCTTCTTGTGCCTGTGAGAATATTTTGGGTATATGAATTTGCACTGTATGATTGCTGTGACCAGTAATTGTTCTTGATAGAGTAGGCATGTGACTTCACAGGTGTCTCTCTCAGTCTCTCAAACACTCCCAAAATCCGGCAGAAGCCAGGAGCATATTATTCTGGGGAGAGACACTGTGTGGCAGCAACTTTGCAAGTTATAAGTATTGTTAGTTAGAGTTTAAAGGAGAACTATGGGGTCAGTGTTTTTCCCCAATAGTTCTCCTTAGGGTAACGGGAGGACACAAACTAGCGTCCTCCCGTTGCCCTAAGCTCAGTATACCGCGAGCTACAGCTCGCGGTATACTGAGACGCCGCACCTGGAGCGGATCCCGACGTAGATGACGGGATCCGCCCAGCTGCGTGAGTGACAGCTGGCTCTGCCTACCTAGAGGCAGAGCCAGCTGTACCCGCCCCCTCCCCCGTCCGTTCCGCCAGTCAGCGCTGGCAGATTGGAGCGGGGAGAGGGGAATCCAGCCCCTCCCCCTGTCATGGCAGAGAGCCGTGACAGGATCGAGAGGTGAGGGAACCCGGTATGTGTTCCCTCACCTCCTGATCTACTGAGCCGACCTGTGACAGTCTCATTGTCACAGGTCGGCTTAGAACTATGAGGTGAGTGGAAATCACTCGTCTCATAGTTCTCCTTTAACAAGCCAGGATGTATTTTTATTTGAAGCGTTTTATTGCTGTTGGCAAGCTACCTTATCGGTAGCTTGTACGTTATTGGATATTAGAATTGCTGGTTATATATTTCTGATACTGGAAGTGCAATACAGCTGGTTGAGGCCATTTTTAAACTTAACTCACCACAGGGAATCTATCTGTACACAAAA